ATGTGTATTGTTAAAGTGACAATTGTTAAGTGCTGTAAAGTCTGCACTGATTCATAGCAACCTATTACAACAGAATTAAACACTGCCCAGTCCTGTTCCAACCTCACAATTATTGCTACATTTGATCCCATTGCAACTGCCACTGTGCTAGTGTACCTTTTTGAGGGTCTTCCTCTTTTTCACTGACCTTACATTTTACCCAGCATGATGTCTTTCTCTAGGGTCTGGTCCCTCCCGATAATATATCCGAAGTATGAGAGACAAAGTCTGGCCAGAAAAGGCTGCAGATTGTATTATTCCAACTATATAACATTTTGGAAAAGGCAAAACTATAAAGGTAGTTAAAAAGTCAGGAGTTCTGGGAAGAGGGATAAATCCGTGGAGCCTGGGATTGTTAGGGTAGTAACAGTTTTCTATATAATGGATTATATTATATATGACATTATGCTTTTGTCAGGCCTATTGAATTGTAAAACACAGAGTGAACCCTGATGTGAATTATGTGCTTTGGTTAGTTATATTTTATCAGTATTCCTTCGTCAATTTTATATTTTTGAAAATGTACCACACTACTTCTTGTTAGTGCCATTGCATCAGTTCTGACTCATAGTGATCCTTTATAAGGTTTCCAATGAGCAGCTGGTGGATTTGAAGTGCCAAGCTTGTGGTTAGCAATCCAGTGCTAACCAGGAGAGGACCTGAAGGGTGAGGACGTATATGACAGCTCTCTGTACTTTCTGCTATTTTTTTTTTCTGTAAATGTAAAATTGTTATTAAAAAAAAATAAAGTCTACTTAAAAAAGTAACCACCATGAAAAATTCACTAGACAGTTCAACTGTAGATATAAACTGACAGAAAAAAAGAATTGGTAAATTTGAGGATCAATCAGTAGAGAATATGTTATTTGAAGAACAGAGAGGAAACAAAGAAAATGAATAGAGCTCCAGGGAAACATGGGATACCAGTAGGCACCCTAACATATGTATAATGGGAATACTAGGATAGAAGAGAAAGAATGGAGAAAAAAACTATTATAAGGAATAATGTCTGTAAACTTCCCAAACTTCCAAGTTTGATGAAAAAAAATTATACATCTTAAAGCACAAAAACTTAAAGTAGCTAAAACACAAATACAAATTCAGATGCATCATCATAAAAAGATTGAAAGACAGAGACAGAGAAAATCATGAAAGGCAGATTGTCAGACTCACTTAAAATATATATATATATATGTTGTTGTTATGTGCCGTGGAGTCAGTTCCAACTCATAGCGACCCTGTACAGGGTTTCCAAGGCTGTAAATCGTTACAGGAGCAGAAAAGCCTCCTGTTTCTCCCGCAGAAGACTGCTGACTTTGTGGTTCACAGCCCAAGTTGTAGCCACTACGCTACCAGAGCGCTCTCTCTCTCTCTCTTTATATATATATATATCAAGTACCCAGCATTCCTAACTCCCAGAGTTGCTTGTGATCACAGGAGGGCTTTCCCCAGCTGTACTTTATCTTTCTATGATTTTCTCTATTAAACTTCAGGCTATTCTGATGTACTTATGTCAAAGACCTACCACCTTCTCTTACTTGTTCCCTCAATGCCTTTAGGCACAAAGTTCTCCACTGTTTAAAGTCAGTCCCCTCAGGCATAACTACTAAGTACTTCCTCTTTGGTGTTAAGTGCCATCAAGTCTGTCCCCATCCATAGCGACCTTGTGTAGGGTTTCCAAGGAGCAGCTGGTGAGCTTGAACAGTAGCCCTTGCAGTTCAAACGACTTTACAGTCAGGTGCATTAACCCACAGCACCACACCAGGATTCTTCTTCATCTTTATGGCCTGCTTAAGTAGAACACCTGTGGCATTGCTTCAGCTTGGGAGTTTAAGCCCATTGTCGGTTCTGACTCATAGTGGCCCTACAGGATAGAGTGGAACTGCCCCATAAGCTTTCTTCATGGTTGTTGTTGTTGTTATGTGCCGTGGAGTCAGTTCCAACTCATAGCCACCCTGCACAGGGTTTCCGAGGCTGGAAATCTTTACAGGAGCAGAAAGTCTCATCTTTCTCCTGCGGAACAGCTGGTAGTTTCGAACTGCTGACCTTGCGGCTCACAGCCCGATTCATAACCATTACGTTAACAGACTCATATTTTTTCCCTCATCGCAGCTGGTGAGTTCGAACCACCAACCTTTTGGTTAGCTGCTGAGCACTTCACTAGTGCATCACCAGTGCTCCTGAAATGGTAGGAGGAACCCACTTTTCCCCGGAGTGTCACCACCCCATGTGGAGGCACTGGGGACAGAGGAGGTAATTCTTAGTGGCTTCAGCTTGCCCCTCTCAGTGTGGAGCCCCCACCGTAAGAGCAAACTAGTGCAGGGAAGTAGGAGTCCAGTATTCTTTACCTGCCATACCTGAGGTAGGACTTCCACCCTATGAGGGGGGCCTGGGTGGACAAAGGAGTCCTGTTTTTCTCTGTGAGCATTCCTGGAATAGAGCTTCTGCAACAAGGGATTCTGGAAATGAGAAATGCAGGAAGCCTGACCCAGACTAGGAGCTAATGGGGAAGGAAGCCCTTTTCTTTTTGACCATACCTGTCCAGAGTAGAGCACCTTGGATAGTGCTTGTAACAGCTACTTGGTTGGGAGGGATAAGAAAACAGATCCACAGATTCTTTCTGTTCTTATCAAGTTTTGTTGTTGTTGTGTGCCGTGGAGTCAGTTCTGACTCATAGTGACCCTCTACAGGGTTTCCAAGGCTGTAAATCTTTACGGAAGCAGAAAGCCTCATCTTTCTCCCATGGAACTGCTGGTAGTTTCGAACTGCTGACCGTGAGATTAGCAGCCTGATTCATAATCACTATGCTACTAGAGCTCATTATTTAGTAATGAACTTAAACGAATGTTTCTCCATTTTCTCTATGTCCTTAAGACAATTTACAGAGACTGTAAATGACTTTTCCTTTTGATGTTCACTTGTTATTTTGATGGAGAAAATGTTTGCTGACTTCCTTACTTTGCCACTGCAGAATCCCATGTTTAGTTTTTAATTTTGATATATGTTAAAACATAGATTGTAACTAGAATCTTGTTTGATACAGAAATAGAAAAAAAAAACTTACTTCCTTTGCCTAATATTTATAATTCTCTAATTTTACACTGATTTTGTTTCTAAATGTTAAGGTAAGAGATAAGGTTTCAGGATAATATTTAAAAATGTTGGGTAGCATTAGTATTTAGTATTATTAATTGAAAAGTCTATTTGGATAAAATTACCACCAGTGTTTGTCTTTTTAACATTCACCTTGAATTTTGCTGAATGTGATCATCAACCTAGCAAAAAGAATTTTCATGCAAATTTGCAGAATTATCACTAACTTTGTTGATAGTTTTGCCCCTATGTATTCTGCCTTTATCTAAGTGTTTATTCATTGTGCATATAAATATTAAATAAATGAGCCAGTAAATTACTGAAATTAAAAACAATTTTTTTAAAACTTCATAAGGGTTGTATTGGTACTCAGCTTGAGTGAATGAGGCATGAACACATTCATCTAAGGAACAGAGTGAAGTGGTTAAGATAACGGATTTGCAAATTCCTGCCTTTGAATGAATGTGGTTGAATTCTTTTTCTGTGCCTCATGTCCTCATCTGTTAAAGGATTAACAAAATAGTATACCTTACATCACATAGGTAGGACTTGGAGATTCATGTTATTCTTTACCAGTCAAGTGGATTCTGATTCATAGTGACCTTCCATGACCCCATGTGTCCAGTGTAGAACTGCTTCATGGGGTTTTCAAGGTTGTGGTGTTTTGGAAGCAGATCACCAAACATATAGTCTAAGGTGACACTGGGTGGGTTCAGATCACCAACTTTTTGACTAGTAGTCTAGCGCTTAACCATTTGTACCACCCAAGAAATCCTTTAAGTGCTTAGAATACTTTTTGTTAAGTAGTTGTATGTATAGGGTTTCCAAGGCTGTAAATCTTTGTGGGAAAGAAAGCCTCATCTTTCTCTTGTGGAGCAACTGGGGGGCTTGAACCACTGACCTTGTGATTAGCAGTCCAGTGCTTATTTAAAGAGACACTGCACTCATGCTATATAGTGTCGTTAAGTGCCGTCGAGTTGGTTCCAACTCATAGCGACCCTGTGTAGGGTTTCCGAGGAGCGACTGGTGTGTTTGAACTGCTGACCTTATAGTTAGCAGTCCAGGGCTAATCCTACAGCCCCACACCAGACGTCCATGGTATGTACAAGGAATACAGTCATTGTTAGTACTTGTGGCCCTGTGCTGTGAACTACAGGTCAGTGGTTCAAGTGCACCAGACTCTCTGAGGGAGAGAGATGAGATTTTCTACTTTTCTAAATATTTACAGCTTTGGAAACCCTATACAGGGTCGCCATGAGTCAGAACCAACTTGATTACACAACAACCACTACCACTGATGGTTATCATTATGAATTCATAGGGCATCAGTCCATCTTAAAGGTCTAATACAATGTATGCAACTTTTGTTTGTTGATTGAAGAAATTAATGTAGATTATCTTTAATGTAAAGACTTGTAATATTTTGCAGAACTGATTCTGAGTCTGAACGTACTATATAAATGGATAGATCTAAGTACACTTATTTTTTTTAAGTTTATTTCTTTTAGCAATTTGATAAGACTGACAAAACCATTGCTTTTGCCAATCTTATCAAAGCAACATATCTTTGTTAACCTTGCATGATTAGATATACTAAGAGGTTACCTGTGAGAAAATTGATTTTACTTTGATCAGCATTGTCTAAGAAGAGTTTTTTGTTCTAGCTTTTATATAATGCTATATAGTAGGATAACACTACCTAGGAAACCTTTTTTATAATGTAATATCATTATAAAATATTGAAGTTTAATATATAAAGAAATGAATGGTAGAAGTTGACTTTTATTTCACTTTTAAGGTTAGCATAAATACTAAACATCAGTCAATTTAATTATAAAATTTTCCTTTATGCTTCCATTTTCTTTCAGCTACTAACAGTAAATGGATCCAGGAGCATCCAGAATGTGCATATAACCTTGTGAATTCTCCACACTTGAAACCTGCCTGGCTCTTAGACAGAGCTCTTTGGCATTTATCTTGTGATATTGCAGATGGGAAATACAAAGAAAAAGGAATACCTGCTTTGATTGAAAATGATCAACAAATGAATGTCAGTATGTATAGAGGAGTACTGCACTAAAACAAAATAACACAATGTCTGAATTACATTAAATGTATAGTTGACTGCGATTTAACATCTGTGTTTTAAATTAGACAAATAGTATTTAGTAAAAATATATTTTAAAGTTTGTAATTATTAAAATTTTTCAGTGCATTCGAAAAATAGTTTGGGAAGATGTTTTTCCAAAGATTCAACTCTGGGAGTTTTTCCAAGTAGATGTTTGCAAAGCAGTTGAACAATTTAAAAGACTTCTTACACAAGGTAACGGATATACACTAGAATATTATTTTAATAAGAGATCATTAAAGTAATTACTCCTTCTTGGTTAATATCATTGTTAAATCTGTTACTATTGCATGATACTTGGATTCTTTTTTAAATTGTAGAACTATGATTCTAGAAGCATATGAGTTAGCATGGATATCCAAAAGGCATGTCTTAGTGAAACATGATATAATCTTTGGCCTTGGGAGCTTTATCTTACTTTTGGTTCCCCAGCGCAATGCTCAAAATACAGTAATATTTAATATACATTTGGAGTCTAGTTGTGATGTTGTAGGATAAGCAATGGACTTTGAACCTACCAGCTGTTCCTTGGAAACCCTATACAGGCTCGCTATGGGTTGGAACCAACTTGAGGGCATTTAACAACAATAACAACATACATTTGTTTAATGAGTGAATGGACGATGGGTAGCCAGAGCACTTTGTTGTAGCCGAGAGTCTTAAAACAGGCTTTGACCCAGAGATGTGGTTGGGATATTAACCAAGGTAGAGAGGCTTCCAGATGATGCTCACCATTAAGGTTCCCTAACACTAGTGACCTTGAATCCAGATATTAGCCATTATCAAGATGAAAAAAACAAATGTATCTTCAAGTTAAGGTTATGGTGGGGACCTGTCTCGACATTGGGGTTCAGTTCACGAGGAGAGGATACCTGACGGCGATAGAGATAGCGAAAGAATACACAGACAGACAGAAGAAGGGAGACAACGAGGCACCCCAAAGCCAGGGTGGATACATCACTGAAGGGCAGGCTTGGGACTACAGGCATCGTGGCCTCTGCAGGCAGCAACTCTCTGCCCTGCAATCTTTACTGCATGCCTTCCAACCCGTAATGCACTGCCATGTTTACTCCATGCCTGCCAACCAGTAATGCACACCTGGGGAGGCCCGGGCCTCTGCTTTATTCAGGGGAGGAGCTTCACACCAAGCTGGGAGGGACTTAGGCAAGGTACAGCTAACATCAGTACTTTTCCAGACATTCAGGTAACTTTACATTGTGCTTTGCTGGTTCGAATCCCAGGCTAGCAACTTGGATTCTCAGGCCCAATTAACATATCTATAGCCCCTGAGCATAGTTGGGGGAAGGTGAGAGATAAAGACAAAAGCTTGGGCGGAGTCCTGCTGCTTTGGCTTCCTGAGCCAGGTCTGCAGGAGGACTCCAGACGCCCAGGTGAATGGGCTGCACCTGGAAAAGGATTAGGGAGGATGGGTTCTTTGTCTATGGAACAAAGAACTGTGAAGTAGCTAAGACATTTTTAGTTAATCCTTTGGAGAAAGGCTTAACCTTGCAACCTTTAGTCTTGGCCTTAGGAAAATACCACATTTATCTGTGGATTGTCAAAGGCTCCAGTGTATTAATTTAATATATATACCTGAATATTAATATGAAAGCAATTTGCCATTAACTGCCAGTGGCCTCATTTGTTACACTCGGCCCTAGCGGGCCTCGAACCTCTGATTAGTCTTACACGGTCTGCAACAGTGGTGGTGGTGGTGGTGATGATGTGCCATGGATAGTTAACCTTAAAAAGTTAGCCCATGAGTCAAACAAAATAGGTTAGGAAAGACCATGCAAAGAGAGAAATTGAGGGTTTTTTGAGGTAACTAGAGAGATGCATGAAGAGTGTATCTGTGATTAATGCAGGGCAGCTTAACAGAAATAATCTATGGTGGCTCTTAAGTAAAGGAATTCTCCTCTTCATCTACAAACCAGCACCCAAAAATAATTGCCTTCAAAGTAAAGTCATTATAGTCCAGGAAACTCCAGGTCAAATTCACATAACAGCTTTTGTAACTGTGTAACATCTTAGTAGACAAATTTTTTTATACTAACTTTCCTTCTTGTTTCATTTCACAAAAGGACCTCTATCTTCCCTTGCATATGATACTTACAAGCTATGCTATTTTTTGTGCAATCATTAAAGAAAACAAAATCTCTTGTGATTAGGGTACTTACTAGCACTTGGAGAGAGGAAAAGAAGCATATATCACCATAATCCGTAATGCCATAAAAAAAAGGAATTCAATAAATAAATACCATCTGTGGGCCAGGTTGAACTGAGCAAAATTCCTGTGTTTTTCTTTTGTGATGTTACTTTCTGTGTATATGTATGCATGTGTATATGCATGAGGATGGGGAGGAGATGATAGAAAGGGTGCTTTTAAAATAAACATGTTTTATTTTCTATAAAAATATGTAGAATAGAAAATGTGGAACCTGCAACAAATATAATCTGCTTGGGGATATTTGAATTTAAGATACTATTTTTCTTTCTTTCAGAAAGTAGAAATATAACCAAGTCTGATCCAATGGAGCATCTTAAGATTATTCAAGATCCTGAATATCGACGACTTGGCTGTACTGTAGATATGAACATTGCACTAGCAACTTTCATGCCACATGAGTATGTTACATGTTTTTCCCGTGGAATAAAGAATAATTTTACATATAAACTTTTATGGCTAGTATAATTTTCATATGCTATTTATTTAAACTTTCCATAGAAATGAAAAGGAACTAATTTTCCATAGTTCTGTTACCTCAGTACATGATATTTTTTCTCATTTTTGTGTGCCAGACCACCTACCTATTTATATATGTAAATTTTTATGATGGAAAATGTCTTAAGCCATCATTAAAATTCTGATGGATATGTTTAGTGGCTATTACCCTGATTAGAAAGCTTTTAGATGTAGAATTTTTAAAACCATCAAATAATAAGTTTGTATTGCTCTTTCTTCTCTAGCAAAGGGCCCACTGCGATTGCTGAGTGCTGTCATTGGTTCAGTAAGAGAATTGAGGAATTAAATTCAGAGAAGCTTCAGCAAATGAACTATCATCAGGAACAGGTTTTACTTCCTTCGAACTATTGTTTTTCTTTGAGTCACAATGCTTGTTTTTTTCTCCTTTGTTGAAGTAACATAATTTAATGTTTTCTAGGCTGTAAATTGCCTTTTGGGAAATGTTTTTTATGAACGACTGGCTGGCCATGGCCCTAAACTGGGACCTGTCACTAGAAAATACCCTTTAGTAACCAGGTATTCCATTTTTGTTTTATTCTCATTGATGGCTGAAAATTGTATGTAGCCTCTCAAATTTACCTAAATGTTTCATTTAATGTGTGACTTTAGTATATTTCTTCATTTGAAATAGAACTTTTTGTTTAGAAACTGGGCTTAATATCAAAAATTTTGTTGAACAAATCTTTAGAGAAACTATCATCTGTACAATTATTATTTACATTACTCTTTCTAGTAGATTTTGAATCATAGTGATTTTATATAGGGTTTACGAGACTGTAAATCTTTGTGGGCCCAACCTTGTCTTTCTCCCACTTAGTGACTTGACTGGTGAGTTTGAACTTTGGTTAGCAGTCCAATGCCTAACCCAGAGTTCCACCAGACCTACTTGGAGGATTCAATATTTTTGTTAAGTGCCGTCAAGTCGGTTTTGACTTTAGTGACCTTGTATCAGGTTTCTGTGGAGCAGCTGGTGGGTTTGAACTGCCGACCTTGTGATGCACAGTCCAGTGATGATCCACAGTGCCACACCAGAAATCCAGGATTGTATACTACTAATAAATTAAATATTAATCATCTTGACCAAGCATTTAGTGCCCTACTTCGTAAGTAATGTTCAGCATAGATTGGGTAACTAAAGAGCAGTTGGTAACATCAATCCTTCAGGGATTTTCTTAGTAATTTTGTGATGAATTTAAACTTTTAAAATCTTCTTTAAAGTATAAGTTATTGTTGTTGTTGTAGTCAAGTGCCGTGGAGTCGGTCCCAACTCATAGTCACCCTGTACAGGGTTTCTGAGACTGTAAATCTTTACAGGAGTAGAAAGTCTCATCTTTCTCCCGCAGAACAAATGGTAGTTTCGAACTGCTGACCTTGAGGTTCGCAGCCCGATTCGTAACCACTACACTACCAGAGCTCCTTAAAGAATTAGTTGTTGTTGTTATGTGCTGTGGAGTAAATCAAAATTTCAATTTTAATATTGCTATTCAAAGTCTCACCAAGGGATTTCTCTTATGGATCTAATATTTAGTTGTATCTCCTTAGATATTTTACTTTCCCATTTGAAGAAATGACACTTTCTGTAGAAGAATCTATGATTCATCTTCCCGATAAAGCTTGTTTTCTAATGGCACATAATGGATGGGTAATGGGAGATGATCCTCTTCGAAACTTTGCTGAGCCAGGTATGTCATCAATGTGAAATCTGAATGAATGAGAAATGAAAAGTTCATGGCAATATAAACAGTTTTATTGATTTTCCTCCACCCTTACCTCCCCACCTCCAACAGGCAAGTGTTTTTCAAAATTTGTTCCCAGAGATGTCATAGTAGGCATATAGTTTGAGAGAAGATGAAGGATTGACAAAGGACAGAACACATATCTCTTTTTCACTCCTTTTTTTGTCTCTCCCTCAAATAGAATGGCTTTTATGTATCTACTTTAGATATTGCATTTTTGAATAGTATTTTATTTGGGCAAAATTTTACCTTACTGGCTTTTTAAGAGACATTTGAAATTGCTGCTCTAAGGTTCTGTTGCTGTAAGAGAAATTATACTTTCATGCGTTGACCAGAGTAGTCTTAAGCTATGTGAATGGCAGTTAGTTAAATGAGAAACTAATTGCTTTTAGGTGACTCCTTCCTTACTCCTCCAGTTCTTACTCCTAATTCTACTATTGCCAGGACAAATTTAGCAGGGGACTCATCAATATGTTTATATATTTATTTTTCAGCATTTCAGAACTAGAACACTTATTTTAATGGCATTCAATTTAATTTAAAAATTTCATTTGTGTTTTGGGTTTTTTAAATTAAATATGTTGTTGTTGTGAAGCACTGTCAAGTTGGTTCTGAATTGGGTTTTCAAGGAGCAGCTGGTAAGTTTGAACCGCTGACTTTGTGGTTCAAATTTACCTTGCTTATCCTAGAGCCCTGTTCTTTGTAGACATTTTTAATTTAAAAAAAAAAAAAAAAGCTATCTTGTTCTATGACCTGGATTAAATATAACCTATGGCCCAGGATTGGGCACTGTTTCGTTCTGCTGTGCATAAGATCTCTATGAGTTGGTGCCGACTCAATTGCACCTAACAACAACAACAAAATAGTCAAAAGTGAGTAGAAAGGTATGGATGATGGATGGAGGTTTAAATGTTTTGAATAGTGTATTGGTGCTGTGAGTCAATACAGTAGACTGCCAGGTTGGTTTGAACCACCAAGATTGATGGTTCAAGCTCACCAGACATTCTCTGAAACCCTATACAGGGTTGCTATGACTCGACAGCACTTAACAACAACAACATAGTTTTTAAAGTACCTGTAATATAGTAATTACGATTTTCCATTAAAAAAACAAACAAGCATGTAGTTTTGAAATAAAGCACATACTTTAGACTATTCACAGGAATTTTGCAAAACAGGTATGAGATTTAACTTAGTATTCTTTTTTAAAGAAATACCATGCCATTTAGATGTGTTGTTGTTGTTGTTGTTAAGTGCCATCGAGTCGGGTCCGACCCATAGCGACCCTGTACAGGGTTTCCGAGGGTGTAAATCTTTACGGGAGTAGAAAGCCTCATCTTTCTCCCGCGAAGCGGCTGGTAGTTTCGAACCGCTGACCTTAAGGTTCACAGCCCGATTTGTAATAGTTCTAACTAATACATAGTTTGTAACAGAAATAATCTGTCTTATTTAAGTAATTGCTTTCTGTTTCATTTCTTGAATCATTGAATGCAAGTTTCCTTTCTTAAAAGGTTCAGACGTATATCTCAGGAGAGAGCTTATTTGCTGGGGAGACAGCGTTAAATTACGTTATGGGAATAAACCAGAAGACTGTCCTTATCTCTGGGCACACATGAAAAAATACACTGAAATAACTGCAACTTATTTCCAGGGAGTGCGTCTTGATAACTGCCACTCAACACCTCTTCCTGTAGCTGAGGTACAGAAAAACATCTTATCTACAATACAAAACGAAATTTGGTATTCTTTTCTAACTTTCCTTGAATATACAGATAATACGTTTCCTTTTGTTTGTTGGACACTACTGAAACCTTTACTTTGGTTAACTGATTTGATTAAACATATAAGTGGTTTTATATAAATATAATGGACTCTTGATGGAATTGTTTGGAATAGAGGACTATCAAATGTTTAATAAGATAATGTTTTAATTTTAATTTAGGAAAGTATATTATATTGTATCTGATGATCATATATCAAACATTTACCTATTGAATCATAAAATATTTGTTTTTTATGATTGCTGTATTTAGTATGTTACTAGTCACTGTGAAGTTGCATAGCATATAATACATTATTATAGTGATTATTTAAACACTAGCATTAAAGTATATTGTTGTTGCTGTAGTGTACCATTGAGTCAGTTCTGACTTACTTGTGACCCTGTACAGGGTTTCCAAGGCTATAAATCTTTACAGGAGCATAAAGCTTCATCTTGATATTAACACTAATTTAGCCTCATTGATTCAGTTTTTCATTATCGTTTAAAAGAATGTGTAAACATACATATTGATTGTATATACTGCTTTTATATTTTTTACAGTAACTATTGAACCATGTCAAAACTTATAGCATTATCTTCTATTTATGGTGGCTGTGTGCTGTGGAGTCAGTTCCAATACATAGCAACCCTATACAGGAAGCAGAAAGGCTCATCTTTCTTCCACAGAACAGCTGGTAGTTTCAAACTGCTGACCTTGAGGTTCGCAGCCCGATTCGTAACCACTACGCTACCAGAGCACCTTATCTTCTATCTATACAGCTTTGTAAACATGTTGTTGTTAAGTGCCTTAGAGTCGGTCTGACCCATAGAGACCCTGCATAGGGTTTCCAAGGAGCAGCAGGTGAATTTTGAACCGCCAGCCTGCAGTCCAGATCATTAACACACAGTGCCATACCAGGACTAATACAAAAGCAATTTCATCCAGTTAAAATATTTAATTACTTACTGGTTCCCTTGAAATGTGTACTTATCTGGTAATATCTATTCCTAATTTAAAACAGTATTTATAATTTATTATTATGTTTCAAGGAGCTCTGGTAATGTAGTGGTTACGAATCAGCCTGTGAACCTCAGAGTCAGCAGTTCGAAACTACCAGCTGTTCCGTGGGAGAAAGATGAGGCTTTCTGTTCCCGTAAAGATTTACAGCCTCAGAAACTCTGTACAGGGTTGCTATGAGTTGGAACCGACTCCACGGCACATAACAACATTATGTTTCATGTTCTATGGTGAAAATTTTATTTGATTGAAAGGTTTAGTGAACATTGTTAAGCTGCTAGAACATTGAATAGCACCAAAAAATGACAGTTTTTTTTAGTTTGTGTTTTTAGCATGCCTTAACAATCATAAAGAATATTTATATTTATAAGATTATTATAGCATTATTATAAATCAGAATTTAAACCTTACTTTGCTTAATTTTAAGTTACAAAACCTCAATGATGTTACTTGCTAACAGAATTTAGGTAATTTACTAACTTTTTGAACTGCTCTGATTGTTAGTTATAGCTCAATATTTCCTGACATTGTAGTTTAAAAGTTTATTACAATCTTTAGGAAATATTGGCATCATTAAAACCTAATCTTTGTAAGGTATAAATGTTTCACCAGCAGAGACATTACCAATAATAATTTAGTCAACTGCCTGAAATTAATACTCTGAGTAAAGGTATTAAAAACAAAAACACTAAGGAATGCCTGACAGAATTACTGTGTTATGATTTCCTGTTTTTAATGTGACACTAACATTTTTCTTCTTCCTCCCTTCCCCCTATGTTTCTTTATCTTTGTAAAATCTGACCTTCCCTTTTAACTGTTTTTGTTCTCTTTACTAATCGTCTTGTTGATTGTGTGTGTTGGTCTGTTTGATGTTTCTTACAACTGCTCTATTAATTTTTTTGGAAATTCGTTTTGAATTTCTCTTATGCTACGTGATTTTTTCCTAAATCAAATCCATGCCTAGTGTTGCCTTTCCCCCTCAATCTTGCTTTTCCCTTTCTGCTACATTTGTGATATGCTTTTTGCAGTACATGTTGGATGCTGCTAGGAAATTGCAACCCAATTTATATGTAGTAGCCGAACTCTTCACAGGAAGCGAAGACTTGGACAATATCTTTGTTACTAGACTGGGCATTAGTTCCTTAATAAGAGGTAGGCTCCTGGAAATATATTTCTGTCTAAATGTTAACTTTTGTTTAAATAAAGTAAAAGGTACTTGATAGCTTTATATATAATGTTTAACTAGTTTAACACCATTAATATTCTTTCAAATATTCGATCCCAGATTATCTAATATAATAACCAAACATTTCTACTTCTGGGTAAGATAACCTCATTTTAAATTGAAAGACTAGTGAAATTAGCTGATAACTAACAAAACCACTTAATTCTTGAAAGTATATAAATCTGTTTTTCATCTCACAATTGGATACCCTATCATTTTTCATAGCATCCTAATATATTAATGTACTGCCTCTTACTTACATTAGCTATCTCCCAGTTAAGCTATAAAAAAATATTTTAAATTATAAAGAAATATTTTTTGTTGTTTAAGCTGATGGAGATTTGTTTAAATTTTTAAATCAGTTTGTAGTTATTTGATTAACACTGTTTATGTGACCTCTATATTAAAAATCAGTCATGATTAGAAATCTCACCTTTTCTTAGACATAAATAGTGGTGATTGTTAAAATATTATGTTATGCTTTGCAGAGGCAATGAGTGCATACAATAGTCATGAGGAGGGCAGGTTAGTTTACCGTTATGGAGGAGAACCTGTTGGATCCTTTGTTCAGCCTTGCTTGAGGCCTTTAATGCCAGCGATTGCACATGCCCTATTTATGGATATTACCCATGACAATGAATGTCCTATTGTGGTAAGCATCTAATCAGAGTCTCATATTATTTTTCTAAACGTTTTGATACTTAGTTCTCTGGTGCTCTGTGGCAATACTGTTTCAAATTTGTGTCTTAGATTTGTATGTGGTTGGTTCTTAGTTTTTAAAAAATACCTTGTTTTAAAATAATAGACCTTAGAAGACATACTTGTATAATTATTCTTTTGCTTTATTATTCTATTAGATCACTTTGCATTTGAAAGAAAGTAACAGTTTACTTGATTCTATTCTAGCATCGGTCAGCATATGATGCTCTTCCAAGTTCCACAGTTGTTTCTATGGCATGTTGTGCTAGCGGAAGTACTAGAGGTTATGATGAATTAGTGCCTCATCAGGTTTGTTTCCATGTGGTTATTTAAATCCATGTTGTAACAACTTTGAGCATTTTCACCAAAAACTTTCACTGTAATTACAAAGGAATATATATCTAAGTTGTAACTTTGTCTAGATTTCAGTGGTTTCGGAGGAACGGTTTTACACTAAGTGGAATCCTGGAGCGTCTCCATCCAATACAAGTGAAGTGAATTCCCAAAGTGGAATTATTGCAGCCAGGTGTGCTATCAATAAGCTTCACCAAGAGCTTGGAGCCAAAGGATTTATTCAGGTAAGAAACTCTTCTAAGTTTGTTTCTTAAGATTTAATTTCAGAAACATTACAGTTTGAGTACAAACCAGTTTTGTCTGTATGTTTTACAGGTGTATGTGGATCAGGTTGATGAAGATATAGTGGCAGTAACCAGACACTCACCTAGTATCCATCAATCTGTTGTGGCTGTGTCTAGAACTGCTTTTAGGAATCCCAAGACCTCATTTTACAGCAAGGAAGTACCTCAAATGTGTATCCCTGGTAATTCAATCTAAAACTTTTTATTGTAACTGTATTATATTGTTATGTTGTTATTGTTAAGTGCCGTTGAATCAATTCCAACTCTTAGCAACTTTGCATAGGGTTTCTGAGGAGCAGCTGGTGGGCTTGAACTGCTGACCTTGTGGTTAGCAGTCCAGTGCTGATCCTGAAGTACCACACCAGGAGTCCCTTATATTGTTATGATGATTATTATATATCATATATTATAAAAATACAAATTTGGAGGTAATTGGAGGAAGAAATTAGAAATTTTTGGTAACTTTTATTTTTACTCCAATACTCATCTGTCATTTTGTTGTCCTGCAGTGGCTTTTATGTTGCAGTGATGCTAGAACACACCAGCTGGGTCACCAATAGTAGAAAGTTTTTAGCAATGCTTCTAGACTAACACAGACTAGGAAGGAGGAGAAGCAGACTACTTCTGAAAGGTTGGCCGCTGAATAATAGTGAAATATTGTCTGATACAGTGCCAGAAGATGAGCCCCTCAGGTTGGAGGGCAGTCAAAATTCATTTGAGGATGAGATGCCTCCTCAAAGTAGAGTCGACCTTCTTGATGTTGACATAGCAAAGCTTTTGGGACTACCATTTGCTGATGTTTCACAACTCAAAATAAGAAAAAGCTGCAAACATCCACTAGTAATCAGAATGTAAAATGTACAAAAAATGAATCTAAGAAAATTGGAAGTCATCAGAACTGAAATGAAATGCATTAGTGAACTGAAATGGACTGATACTGGCCGTTTTTCATATGACAGTCATATAGTGTACTGTACTGGAAATAACAAATTGAAGAGGAGTGGTTTCCCATTCATCATCAAAAAGAGCATCTCAAGATCTATCTTGAAACACAGCTCTGTCTGTGACAGGATAATGTCCAGATGCCTACCAGGAAAACCAAGTGAATATGACTGTTACTCAAATTTAAGGACAACAAAGCCAGTGATGATGAAATTGAAAAATTCTACTAACTTCTTCAGTTGGAAATTGATCAAACATACAATCAAGATACATTGATAATTACCAGTGTTTGGAAGCAAAGAGGACGGACCTCAGCAATGATATCCCTTATTCCATGGCCTCTTTTGAATCTGTCTTGAACCTCTGGAAGTTTCTCTGTCAATGTGTGCTTGCAGGTGTTTCTACATTACCTTTAGTAAAACTTTATGCGCATGGGATATCAAAGAAATTGTCCGATGATTTCCGCATTCCGTTGGGTCACCTCTCTGTGGAATGGGCACAAATACGGTTCTCTCCCAATCAGTCAACCAGATAGTTGTCTTCCAAATTTCTTGACAGAGATGAGTGAGTGCCTCCTGTGCCGCTTCACTTTCTTGAAAGATTTCAGTTTTCATTCCATCAATTCCTGGTGCCTTGTTCTTTGCCAATTCCTTCAATGCACCTTGGACTTCCTCCTTCAGTATCATTGGCTCTTGATCACATGCTACCTCTCGAAAAGGTTGAACATGAACCATTTCCTTTTGGTACAGTGACGCTGTGTATTCCTTCCATCTTCTCTTGAGGCTTTCTGCATCATTCAGTAATTTGCACAGAGAATCTTTCAATAATGAAAGTCAAGGCTTGAATTTTTTCTTCAGTTCCCCCAGCTTGAGAAATGCTGAGTGTGTGCTTCCTTTTTGGCTTTCTGATTCCAGATCTTTGCACATTTTGTTGTAGTATTTGGCTTTATCTTCACTAGCTGAAATTTGAAATTTTCTGTTCATCCCTTTGTACCTCCTCATTTCTTCCATTTGCTTTAGCATCTCTATGCTGGAGAGCAAGTTTCAGAGTCTCTTCTGACATCCATTTTGACCTTTTCCTTCTTTCTTGTTTTCTTAATGACTTTTTGCTTTCTTCATGTAATGATGTTCTTGATGTCATCCCACAACTCTTCTGGTCTTCAGTCTTTAGTGTTTAATGTATCAAATCTGTTCTTCAGATGATCTCTAAGGGTGGGATATATTCAGTGTCATATTTTGGCTCTCATGGACTTATTTTCATTTTCTTCAGCTTCAGTTTGAACTTGCATATGAGTAATTGATGGTTGTTCCACAGTCTGCCCCTGGCCTTGTTTTCAATGATGATATGGAGCTTTTCCATCCTCTCTTTCTGCAGATGTAGTCAATTTGATTTCTATGTATTCCATCTGGTGAGGTCCATGTATATGGTCGTCTCTTATACTGTCTAAAGAAGGTATTTGAAATGAACAAATCATTGGTTTTGCAGAATTCTATCATGCATCCTCCAACATCATTTCTATCACCAAGGCCATATTTTCCAACTACTGATCCTTCCTCTTTGCTCCCAACCTTTGCATTCCAATCATCAGTAATGATCAATACATCTTGATTGCATGTTTGATTAATTTCAGATTTAAGAAGTTGGTAGAATTCTTCTATTTCATCCTCACTGGCTTTAATGGTTTGTGCGTAAATTTGAATAATAGTTGTGTTAACTGGGCTTCCCTGCAGGCGCATGGATGTCATCCTATCACAGACAGTGTTGTACCTCATGACTGATCTGGATATGTTCTTTTTGACAATGAATGCAACACCATTCCTCTTTAATTTGTCATTTCCAGTATAGTAAACCATGTGGTCATCAGATTCAAAATGGCCTAATTCTAGTCCATTTCAGCTCACCAAAGCCTAAGATATCGATGTTTATGTGTTCCATTTCACTTTTGACAACTTCCAATTTTTCCAGATTCATACTTTGTATATTTCATGTTCTGATTTTCAATGGATGTTTACAGCTATTTCTCTTCATTCTTTGAGTTATTCTCCATCAGCAAATGAAGGTCCCACGGGCTTTTCTCCCACAGGCTTTACTCCATTCATGTCATCACGGTCAACTCTACTTTGAGGGGGCAGCTCTTCCCCAGTCTCATTTTGAGAACCTTCCATCCTGAATGGCTGAATTTCCGGCACTTTATCTGATAGTGTTTCTCTGCTATTCATAAGGTTTTCAGTGACTAAATATTCAGAAGTAATTCATCACTCCTTCTTCCTAGTCTGTCTTTGTCTGGAAGCTCATCTGAAATCTGTGCACCATGGGTGACCCTGCTGTTATATAAAATATCCGTGGCATAGCTTTCAGAATCACAGCAACTCACAAACCACCACAGTATGACAAACTGACAGACAAGTGGTGGAACCAATAGGTAGAGATCCATATTTGTGCCCATTCCAAAGAACGATGATACAACAGAATACAAAAATCATTGAATAGTATCATTAGTATCACATACATGATTTTTTTTAAGGTAATTCATAAATAGTTGCAGCAGTACATTGACAGATAGCTGCCAGGAATTTAAGACAGATTCAGAAGATGACATAGATTTACTTTCTCTGTCTTCAAAATTAGGCAGGTGGCTTTGAACCATGGATTTTGCAGTTATAAATTCAACACTTACATATAGTGTCACCAGAGCTTAACAATTTCAAATGCAGATAATCTGATATGAAAATTTTAAATAATTTTTGTATGTTCCTAGGCAAAATTGAAGAAGTAGTTCTTGAAGCTAGAACTATTGAGAGAAATACAAAACCTTACAGGAAGGATGAGAATTCAATCAATGGAATGCCAGATGTCACAGTAGAAATTAGAGAACATATCCAGGTATTTGAGGCGCTTATCTTACTACGAACTTTATTTAGTATTATAAGGACAGTAGAATTATTTGTTGAGAATGAAAAAAAATTTGTTGAATGATTTTTTTTTTTCAAGCTTAATGAAAGTAAAATTGTTAAACAAGCTGGATTTGCTACAAAAGGACCCAATGAATATATTCAAGAAATAGAATTTGAAAATTTGTCTCCAGGAAGTGTTATTGTATTCAGGTATGTGAATCAGAGTTCAAGCTGTTGACTTTACTTATATTTAACAGCGTTTGCTTACCCTACTAATTTTGGATAAATTACACCTAGAAATTAACCATTTTTTAATTAACATTTTCAGAGTGAGTCTTGATCCGCACGCACAAGTTGCTGTTGGAATACTTCGAAACCATCTTACGCAATTCAGTTCTCACTTTAAGTCTGGAAGCCTTGCTGTTGACAACTCAGATCCAATATTAAAAATTCCTTTTGCTTCGTAAGTATACCTTATTTTATAGAGATTTGTCACTTTTAATACATTATTATCACTGACCTGATTTGAGTTTCTGAAAGGTCACAGCCTTGAAAACCTATGGAATACAGTTCTACTCTACCACACACATGCAGTCTCCATGAGTTGGAATCTGTTGGAAAACAACTTGCTTGTTCTCATGTCAACTCAGTGTAGCCCAAGGACTATCAGTATCACAATCATATATTTAAAAGATTGTATACTATTTATGCATCTTTTCTGTATGCTCCCTTAAAAGGGAAGTTCAGAAATATCTAGGGAAAATTAAATTAAAAGATGATGATTTTCCAACATAGAGTCCCTGGGTTACAGATTTTTAGATGTCCTACTTAACATACAACCCATAGTTAGAAGTCAACCAGTAAACAACTCAATAAAGCCTATTATATTAAAAATTCTGGGTACTTACAATGGTTCCTAATAACAAACTTGGTGCTATGGCAGGGACAGTATATACATATAAATATATGTATATGTTAAATATATATAAACACATATACATATAAATATATTGTTGTTAGGTGCCGATGATTCAGTTCCAACTCATAGTGACTTTATGCACAACAGAAGGAAACACTACCCAGTCCTGCACCATCGTCACAATTGTTAAGCTTTAAGCCATTGCTGCTGGCACTGTAGGATCAGCACTGGACCATGAACCACAAGGTCAGCAGTTCAAACCCACCAACAGCTCCTCAGAAACTCTATTCAGAATTGCTATGAGACGGAACCAACTCAATGGCACTTAACAACAACAACAAACTGCCAGTGTGCCAGCCCATCTCTTTGGGGGTCTTTTTCTTTTTTTGATTATTCTCCACTTTACCAAGCATGTTATCCTCCAGGAACTGGTCTCTCATGATAATATGTCCAAAATATGGGAGACAAGGTCATTTCATTCTGGCTTTACTTCTTCTGGTAAAAGTATTCTGTTTGTACTTCTTCCAACACAAGTTGGAAATTTGTTGTTCTAACAGTCCATGGTACTTTAAATATTCTTCTCCAACACCATTACCCAAATACATCAATTCTATCATCTTCCCTGTTCACGGTCCAACTTGACATGCATATGAAACTATTGAACATACCACAGCTTGGGTTAAGTGCACCTTGAGTTATATGTCCTCAAAGTGACATCTTTGTTCTTGAACATTTTAAAGAGATCTCATGCAGCAGATTTGCCTAATGCAATATAGTGTTTGATTTCCTGACTGCTACTGCTCCTTCCATGAGTATCGATAGTGGATCTAAGCAAAATGAAGTATTTGACAGCTTTGGTCTTTTATCCATTTATCATGATGCTATTTGTTGGTCCAGTGGTGAGGATTTTTGTTTTCTTTACATTGAGGTGACCATACTGAAGACTGTGATCTTTGATCTTCAGTGTGTATATACACATACATATACATCTATCTGTCTATCTGTAGCAACACTTTCTCTCCGTTTTTTCCGTCTTTTATCAAGTATTTGAAACTAAGTTACATATATCGTAACTCTTATTACATCTTTTTTATTGTCAATTTTTTTATTGTATATTTTAGCCATACCATAATTTATTTAATCAGTCTATAATTTTAGACATGTTGATTGCTACTGTGTATGTTTTTGTAAAGTCATCATTGCATAAATCCTTAATTATTCCCTTACTACATTGTACTGCCTAGTATGTGTTTAAAGTTTACAATGTTATTTGACTTCAGCTTCACCTTTGTCAGTATGATGTTGAACAAGTTATGTATACTTTCTTAATCTCGTTTTCCCTATCTGTAAAATGGAGTTTATAATAATATCTGCTTCTTTGGGGTTTGTAAGAATTAAATAGGATAATTAATATAAAGCAATTAACAAAATGCCTAGTACATAGTTAGAGCTCAATATGTGCTTACTATCACTAATACCACTTGTCTGTGAGTTTGTCATACTGTGGTGGCTTGTATGTTGCTGTGATTTTGGAAGCTATGCCATGGGTATTTTAAATACCAGCAAGTTCACCCACTGTGGATAAATTTCATCTGAGATTCCAGACAAAAGCAGACTAGGATGTGAGATGGATTACTTAGGACTGTTTAGTCACTGAAAACCTTATGACTAGCAGTGGAACACTGTCAGCACCAGAATATTGAATATTGAAATATGGTGAAGAGCACTAGAATATTGTCAGAAATAGTGTCAGAAGATGAGCCCCTCAGGTTGGAAGACGCTCCAGATACGGCTGGCAAGAACTGCCTCCTTAAACTAGAGATGGCTGTGATGGCACGAATGGAGTAAAGTGTTTGGGACCATCATTTGCGGATAGGGCATAACTCAAAATGAAGAGAAACAGCTGTAAACATTTATTAATAATTGGAGAATGGAATATATGAAGCATGAATCTAGGAAAACTGGAAACTGTCAAAAAATGAAATGGAATGCATATACATAGATACCCTAAGCATCTCTTGGTTTACTATGCTGGGAATGATAAATTAAAGAGGAATGGCATCACATTCATCAAAAAAAAACATATCAAGGTCTGTCTTGAAGTACAATGCTGTTTGTGATAGGATAATATCCATATGCTTACAAGTAAGACCAGTTAACATAACTGTTATTCAAATTTACATACCAATCGCCAAAGCTAGTCATGATGGAACTAAAGAATTCTACCAACTTTTTCAGTCAGAAACTGATAAAACATGCAGTCAAGGTGTATTAGTAATTACTGGTGATTGGAATGCAGTGGTTGGAAACAAAGAAGAAGGATCAGTCATTTGAAAATGTGACCTTGGTGATAGAAACCATGGTATATATACATATGTAACACATGATAGAATTTTGCAAGACTGATGACTCCTTCCTTGCAAATACCTTTTTTAAACAGCATAAAAGGCGACTATATATGGATGAGGTTGCTCAAAATTCCAACCAAATAGGAAAGGATCCTCATATCAAGGATAAAGCATGTCTCCTCATTACACTGGGCTGATGGGAATGGGCAACTTAAACTTTGACTACCGAAATTTAGGGCTACCAAAGGCACAAAGTGACTGGCTTACAAGTTGATCATGAGGGTGCTTAGTGTCAGAAAAGGGGGAGTAAGATAGAAACCCAACTGAATAATTTCCCTCCTGTCCAGATGGGTCTGGTAATGAGGGGGATAAGGCATTATGATACAATTACAAGTAATTATTTTCAACTCTAATGGCAATTGTAAATGTAGAAGTGCAACTGAAAGGGAGAGCAGTTAATCTGTTATCTCAGGAACAAAAGACCCTATGACCTTCATGAGGGAAGAAAATGAGAAGAGAAAGGGATCGTGACCAGAGAAGTGGTGACAACAGAGGTGGTGGTGGAGGCAATGGCATAGAGATACAGAACAGTGGACTTCCATGGACTGAGAAAAGCAGTGAGCCTGTGGATAGGAGGCTGGCTTGCAAAATGTGCCCTTTGTATATTTAAGCAAATATGTATTTACAGCATGCTATGTGTACTCCAAAAAAAAAAAAGGTAACAGAGGTAAATCTCATTAATGGTGCATGGAAAGTATTGTCATCATTACAATGGTCAACTGAATGTAAAAAATGTAGGATTTGTCAAAATGGTAGGAAAAGTATATGTTAAAGGTATCTTTGAAGTTAGCCTTGTATAGTTTAAAAGTAATTTTATTAATTTCATCTCAGCCTTTATTTTTCTTGAAAAGTATTATATAAAAATCTGTTTGTGTCTTTTTTTAAAAAAAGGAACAGAATGGATAAAAAAAATCTTAGAATGGCTCTTCAGACAAAAACAAATAATACATAGAACAACAACAAAAATGACAACTATATACATGGAGCTCACCAAACAGCCAAAACAAGGCCAGGAGCAGACAGTGGAACAGACCATCAGCTGCTCATCAGGCTGAAGCTGCAGATAATTTAAACAAGTCCACAAGAGCCAAAATATGATCTTGAATATATCCCACTGAAATTAGAGATCATATGAAGGACAGATTTGATGTATTATACATTAAAGACTGAAGACCAGAAGGGTTTTGGGATAACATGAAGAATTTCAGAGAGGAAGAAAGGAAAAGGTCATTAAGAAGACAAGAAAGAAGGAAAAGACCAAAATGGAAACTTGCTTTCCAACATAGAGATGGAAAATATGTGATAAAAGAGCTGAATAGGAAATTCCAATATCATCTCAAGAAGACAAAGTCAAATATTGTAACAAAATGTGCAAAGACCTGGAGTTAGAAAATCAAAAGGGAAGAACATATTCAGCATTTCTCAAGTTGAGGAAAATGAAGAAAATTCAAGCCTTGACTTGCAATGTTGAAGGATTTTATGGGCAAAATATTGAATAATGAAACATTAAAAGAAGGTGCAAGAAATATACAGAGTCACTGTGCCAAAAAGAAATGGTCAATGTTAAACCATTTGATGGTTGAACATCATATGATGAAGAGCCAGTGATACTGAAGGAAGGAGTCCTGGGTACATTGAAGGCATTGGCAAAGAACAATGCACTGAGAATTGATGTAATACAAATTGAAGTTTGTCAACAAACTGATGCAGCACTGGAGGCATTCACTCATCTATGCCAAGAAATTTAAAAGAAAAACTACCTGGCCAACTAACTGGAAGAGATTTATAGTTTGCCCATTCCAAAGAGAGGAATGCAAATCACCGGACAATATCATTAATATCACATGCAAGTAAAATTTTGCTAAATATAATGCAAAAATGGCTGCAACCATACATTAACAGAGAACTTTGAGAGGTTCATGCCAATTTCAGAAGAAAGAGTGGAGCAAGGGATATCATTGTTGATGTCAGGTGGATCTTGGCTGAAAGTAAAGAATGCCAGAAAGTATGCTTTATTGACTATGCAAAGGCTTTCAACTGTGTGATCATGACAAGCTATGGACAACATTGCAGAGAATGAGTATTCAAGAACACTTAGCTGTGCTCATGAGGAATTGTGCGCATAGACCAAGAGGTACTTGTTCAAACAGAACAAGGGAACACCACATGGTTTAAAATTAGGAGAGAGATGCACCAGTGTTGAATTCTTTCACCATACTATTCAACATATCCAGGAAGCTAGATTATATGAAGAAAAATGTGGCATCAGGATTGGAGGAAGACTCATTAACAACCTGTGATATGCAGATAATACAGTCTTGCCTGTTGAAATAAAGAGGACTTAAAATACTGATGAAGATCAAAGACTACAGCCAGCCTTTGGTATGGATTGCACCTCAATGTCAAGAAAGCAGAAATCTTCACCACTGAACCAATAAACAATATCCATAGAGATGGAGAAAATATTGAGGTTGTCAAAGACTTCATTTAAGTGTTGAAGAGCAAAGAAGTCAGTTTGAGGACTAAGGTGCGCCTGACCCAAGTCATGGTATTTTCAATAACCTCATATGCATGTGAAAGTTGGACAGTCAATAAGGAAGATCATACAAGAATTGATGCACTTGAGTTATGGTGTTGTAGGAGAATATTAAAAGTACCATAAACTGCCAAAATAACAAACCAGTCTGTGATGGAAGAAGTATAGCCAGAATGCTCCTTGAAAGCAAGGATGGCCAACCTTGTGTCTTATACTTAGGACGTATTATCAGGGGGGACCCAGCCCTAGAGAAGAACGTCATGCTCTGAAGTGGAGGGTCTTTGCAAAAGAAGAAGATCTCCAATGAGATGAATTGGCACAGTGGCGGCAACAGTGGGCTCAAATGTGGCAACGACTGTGAGGTTGGCCCAGGAACAGGCGGTTTTTTGTTCTAATGTGTTCAGTTTGGTACTGACTTCATGGCACCTAACATTAGTACTTAGGTCAACTTCTAGTATTAGAATTGTTGGGTTAGAATAGATGCACAGCATGGGTTTCACCGAGTTCATAAATAAATTCTATTTTTCAATTGCATATTTCCATGGACACAGTGCTTAATGGATGTAATTATTGTTGTTAGGTACTGTCAAGTTGGCTGAACTCAGAGTGACCCAGGCACTAAGAATGACTACTGTCCAGTTCTGCGCCATCTTCACAATGGTTATGTCTGAGCCTCTTGTTGCAGCCATTGTGTCAATCCATCTTATTGGGGGTCTTACTCTTTTTCAATTAAAATAATATTGATATCGATAATCAACAAGTATTAGGTAATACTAATCAAATTGGTAAATTTAAGATAATTTGAAATGGAATCTCAACTTTAGTTTATTGGTTAAGTTAGGTAGAGTTCTGGTGTGGCACTGTAGAATAAGCACTGAACTGCTAACTGCTAGGCTGGCATTTCAAACCCACCAGCCACTCCTTGGAACGCATACAGGGTCATTATAAGTCAGAACCAACTCAAAGGCACTTGAAAGCAACAACCAATAGCTTTTATGGTAAATGACCATTTGTAATGATTCAATTAAAATCATTTTATGTATTTACCCATTTTTTAAAATTTAGTTCTATTTTTGTTTGTTTTATAACATTTGTAGTTAAGGGTATTGCTTAAATGGCCACGAGGCCATGTCTGTCCTCCTCTGACATCAGAATTAAGCTCCACACCAGCATAAGTATTTTGAGTTTAAGATAACTAGTATAAAGAGTTAGTGATGTCTCATATAAAACAAGGTAAAAAAAGGGATAAACTGTCCAAACTAGAAAGACCAAAAGATAAATCTGTAAGATTAAAGGATACAGTAACCAAAATATTTTTTCAATATATGTCTGTTAAATAAAATGTGGGCATTTGATTACGTCCTTGATTTTGGTATAGTACTACTTGTAATTAAAATCTAAGCACATTTTGCTCTTTCATTACTAATAAAATCTGTTGTTTATAATATATAATGATGTTTCTAAAACATACCTTACTAAGATACTGTCTTGTTTTAATTCAGATTTTTTCTTTATATTGATAGCAAATTAAATTTTATGGATTTTACCTTACGTAGATATGTTTATATTAAGCTCTCACTTCAAAGAGTTAATAAAATATATGTTTGGAGGGGCAAAATAATGAAAACAATGATAAAATTTGCATACTGTAATATTTAGATAAAAGTTTATTTAACTAATTGCCTTTACTTTCCAATTCTTAGTATTGCCTCTAAATTAACTTTGGCTGAACTGAATCAGTTACTTTACCGATGTGAGTCAGAAGAACAAGAAGATGGTGGAGGATGCTATAACATACCAAATTGGTCCTCTCTTAAATATGCAGGTCTTCAAGGTAAGCAAGGATAAGGATACTTAATGGGGGATATTTTTTCTTCTAGAGTCAAAAGATGTCTTTTTTTTTGTATAAGAGCATAGGTTCAGAGTTCAATTTCCAGGATCAAATTATAACTCTGCTGCCTACTCACTTATTGACCTTTGACATGTAACTTAACCTCTCAGTGCCCCAATTTCTGCATCCATAAAATGCAAATAATTTATAAGACTTTGTGAGGATTAAATGATATAACTCATGGAAAACACTAAAAGCAGAATGTGACACAAAATAACCAGTCAGTATATGTTACCTGAAACTACTAGTTTGATATTATACCTTATAGTCATTTATAGCTCTTTAAATATACTTTGACCTTAATAATATTTCTTCATTTGGTTTATTGTATTTTAAAAAAAGGAAAACACAGAATAGGCTCATTTGGTCCCCAAAGGGAACCAGATTGTAAATATAAAACATTCATCCTACATATGCGTCTAGTTAGAAAATTTTATTTCTTGACATACTTGTTTTATCCAAGAAAGAAAGTATATAGTATGATAGTATGTAGCTAGAGTCATTGTGGTGGTGGTGGTAGTGGTGTGCCTTCAAATTGACGCTGACTCATAGCAACCCTGTATAGGGTTTCTGTAGCTGTTAGTCTTCATGGGAGCAGAAAACCTCATTTTTCTCCCTTGGAGCAGCTAGTGGATTCAAACAGCCAACACACGACTCCCTTCGCCACCAGAGCGCTGTCAAATAACTGTTTTTGTTGTTAGGTGCCATCCACTCGGTACCGACTCACAGCAACCTTATGCACAACAGAACGAAACACTGCCCAGTCCTGGGCCAACCTCACAATTGTTGCCACACTTGAACCCATTGATGCTGCTACTTTGCCAGTCCATCTCATTGGGGGTCTTCCTCTTTTTCTCTGACCCTCCACCTTACCAAACATCATGTCTTTCTCCAGTGACCAGTTCCTCCTAACAATATATCCAAAGTAGGAGAGATGAAGTTTGGCCATCTTGGCCTCCAAGGAGCACTCTGGCTGCACTTCTTCCAACACAGAATCACTGTAGGAAGTACATGTTTATCAGCTTAATCCATCTAGTTGGTGATGCTTTCTTAGATTTTTAACGATATATACTGCATTAGGCAAATCTGCTGCACAAGACCTCTTTAAAGTGTTCAAGAGCAAAGATGTTAGTTGGAGGACTAAGGTGTGCCTGACCCAAGCCATAGTATTTTCAATAGCCTCATTTGCATGTGAAAGTTGGACAATGAATAAAAAAGATCATACAAGAATTGATGCATTTGAATTATGGTGTTGGAGGAGAATATTAAAAGTGCCATGGACTGCCAAAAGAACAAAGCAATCTGTGCTGGAAGAAATACAGCCAAAATGCTCATGGGAAGCCAGGATGACCCTACTTAATGTCTCATACTTAGGATATATTATCAGGAGTGACCAGTCCCTGCAGAAAGGCATCATGCTTGGTAAAGTGAGGGATCGGCACAAAAGAGGAAGACCCCCAACAAGATCGGATTGGCACAAAGGCATCAGCAATGGGTTCAAGCATACAAGTGATTGTGAGGTAGGCACAGGACAGGGCAGTATTTTGGTAGCTATGAGTCAGTACCAACTCAATGACACCTAGCAACAACAAACTACCTGTGATGCTGTAGGATAAATACTGGATTGTTAACCAAGAGGTCGGTGCTTCAAACCCACCAGCCCCATCTTGGGACTCCTATATAAAGTCACTGTGAGTCAGAAGTAGCTTGATGCACTTAACAACAACAAACTATCTATAAGGACTAATTCAATACTTAAATCTTGCACAAAGCCTTCCTTAACTATTGCTTTTTTACAGTAATTTTTTAATTTCCAGACACCCATTGCCTCTTAATTTGCCCTTAGAATTGTATTATTTTATTTTGGTAATTAGTATTTTTTTGTGAGTATCCATCACTGTGGTTAAGAAAAACAAATGTTAGAACCAGACTCCCTGGGTTACACTGAGTAAACTATGCAAGTAAAACCTTGGTGTAGTTAACTCTTCATGCCTCAGTTTTCTTATCTGTAAAATGGGAGTAATGATAGTACCTACTTCAAATAATTGGAGTCTTGATGTGGCACTGTAGGATAGGTACTGGACCACAGATCAGCAGTTCAAGCTCAGCAGCTGCTCCTTGGAAACCCTGTATAGGGTCACTATGACACGGAACCAACTCAATGACAGTTAACAACAACCTCAAAGAATTAGATGGAAAGCAGTTAGGTAACACCTAGTGCACAGTAGGGAGGCTCTGGTAGCACAGTATTTAAGCACTAAAAAGGTTAGAATTTCAAACCCACCCGGGAGTTCTGTAAGAGAAAGACCTGACAATCTGCTCCTACAGGATTACAGTTAGTACAGCCTTTACTAGATGGGTAGCTCTACTCCATCACAGGAGTTCAACTATGAGTTGAAATTACGTGATGGTACTTAACAACAACAGTTTCTAGTAAGTACTCATTAACTGGAGTCCTGGTGTGCACCAGACTGCAAAGCCGTTTGAACTGCAAGGTCGGCGGTTCAAGCTCACCAGCTGCTCCTCGGAAACCCTATACAGGGTTGCTATGGGTTGGGATCTACTAGATGGCGCTAAACAACAACAACTCATTAATTGTTAGTTGTAAAACTCCACTAACTAGACTGTAAATTTCTGGAGAAAACAGAATGAGGCGTTCTTAGCTTTTATATCTTTCACAAAGCTGAGCATGTAATAAGCTCTCAATAAATGCTCAATGTTTTCTTTTTATTTTCTTAAAATTCTTGCACTTTTTTCTAAAACTGAATCTCATTTTCTATACAAAATATTTTATTCTGTGTGTAATAAAGGAATATATATGTTACCAGGGTTAAGCAGCTATCTACTTCATTTCCACTCTCAGCTCTTAAACTCCTTTTTGATTGAAAGACCACACTTTTGTGAGCTCTTTTTCTGGCCTTTTGACAGTCTTAATGTTAAGTCTGATTCTTTTATCAACTCTCTCTGCCCTTTTCATGAAATGATTCTACTCATCCTTTCTAAATATAAATGCTCTTGCCTGATTCGGGGCTGTAATATGAAAACAAATATCCTTTACCAATAATACACATGGTGGTTCTTTGAATTTTTAGGATTGATGGCTGTACTGGCAGAAATAAGACCAAAGAATGACTTAGGGCATCCTTTTTGTGATAATTTAAGATCTGGAGATTGGATGATTGACTACATCAGTAACCGTCTTATTTCACGATCAGGAACTATTGCTGAAGTAAGTAAAACTATATTTCAGTCCTCCCAAAACTGTATTAACGTTTTATATGCAATATTTACATTGCCTTCTAACCAGACACATTTTCTTCCCTCTTTATCATCTTTCAATTCTTATAAATAGAAATCTGGTTTGTTGATTACTAGACTAAAATTACACGTTTGGATCTGCCTATTCATATATACCTACCTGAAACACACCAAATTAAATTTTTTTTAAAGTTTTTAATTGTGAATTGAGTGAAAGTTTACAAGGGAGATCATCAGTTTTACATTCAACAAATTATAACTTTGTTTCATTACAATGATGATAATCCCCTCCATGTACCATCAGATAACAGTATTTCTCTCTATTCATTTTAGGTCTCTTTTAAAAAACAAAACAAAACAACAATCAAGCATATACAATAATTTAAACAACTAAAGGGCACATTCTTCTAGCCTGCCTCCTGGCTGCCAGCTCTCAGTCCCTCTCTTCCCATGAACCTAGAGTCCTCAGATGGTCCCTCTCTTCGTGTCCCCATCTCTGCCTGCTTCTCTGAATAGGGTCCCGCATTCCACTTGTGCTATTCTCCTTTGATGGTCATAGGGTCCTCTGTTTCTGGACCATAAGATTAACCACTCCACCATTTTTATTATAAAACTTCTACCTTTAAAATTTTGATAGTAGCAATTAGTCATGATAAAAATTACTCACTATTGAATCATAAGAATCTTATCCCCATCTCTTTTCAACCAACCCATCTAGGCAAATTAACTTCTAAAATTATTTTTCTGACAGGTTGGGAAATGGTTAAAGGCTATGTTCTTCTACCTGAAGCAGATTCCACGTTACCTTGTTCCATGTTACTTTGATGCTATATTAATTGGTACATACACTACTCTTCTGGATGTAGCATGGAAACAGATGTCAAGGTATAGCCAACAAAACTTGAGTCAATAGACATGTTTGTGTAGAAGCATGCATGGAGTCACTTTATACATATTCTTAAAAGACCAAACATGAGGAATTGCCACAGAATCACAGAACTGAGAATGTTTTTAAGTGGATAGTAAATTTATTCGCCTCCCTTAGAGTCTGGAGCATATAAAAAACTTAGATATTAAAATCTGTCTTAAAAAGCTAATGGGAAAATGTAATTGTTTTATAGTATTTGTTTATATTTATCCATTGATTTAAGTTAGTTGGTGCAATTTTAAGAGTATATATGCCTACTTATTTTCCTAATTTTCAACAATTAAAATATATTTTGCTATTGATTATGAGTAAAATATGCCTTAAACAATTATTCTCCCTAGAATCAAATTATGTATCAAAATGTACCAGTGAAGAACCACTAAATTGATTTGGACTTAACTTCAGAAACTTCAACTAAACCATTTGTTTCACAACAGGCCTTGGACTTACAGCCAGCTAAAATATGGGGTGAAGTGAAAGTAGTTCTGAAATCTCACCACACTGAAAAAATTTGTTTCACTGTCACTATCATTTTTTCATATTTGTATAAAGTAAAATAATACTTCTAGAATTAGTATATTTTTTCAGTAGAAAATATTTTAAACCCCATAACTTTCGCTACAGCTTTGTGCAGAATGGATCAACTTTTGTGAAACACCTTTCATTGGGTTCAGTTCAGATGTGTGGAATCGGAAAATCCCCTTCTCTACCACTTCTTTCACCTTCGCTTATAGATATACCATATAGACTAAACGAGATCACAAAAGAAAAGGAGCAATGTTGTGTTTCTCTAGCTGCAGGTAAGAAATTATGTATAAGGTTAAGTGTGTAAGTTAGTGTATTATTTGAAGGGGAAATGTTTTTAAATGGGAAAGGGATTATCAAAAGAAACAACTCATGTTATCAGAGGTTTTATGTGACTGCTTAATAAAATTTCATTGATATTCAAGAGTGAAAATAATATCAGTACTTACTATTTAATTATCACTGTGTACCAGACATTTGTGTGTATTCTTTATTGTGACTGGTTAATTCTTTTTTCCCAGCTTATTTAGACTTTTTTATTACACTTAATATTTTGTATTTTTTCATCAAATTACCTTTTTTAATACCTTGTTTTCTGTATTACATTTCTCTAGCATTTTTTAAATTGACCTGAGCTTATCTTGAGAGTATATAAAATTCCTGTACAATTTACAAAACACAAAACAAATATTCATAAGTTTTTTATTATGTATGTTAATTGCAATCAAATGCTTTTAACCAAGTTTAGTAAATTGACATCCTGTCCTGAAAGTGATTTTAAAACTGAATCAAATAACAAATCTAAGAAAATAAGAATAGTCTAATGGATTTTTTATTTTATTTTTAATCAATTTCAAGCATATGTCTAGAAAACATTTAGCATTCGAGGCCACTGAAGTTTAGAATTTTCCAAAATTAAGAGAAAAATAAAAAATCATACAATGAGAGGAATAGTGTCTATGTGACTTCCTGTTTACCCTTAAATTTTCACCTGCCAAGGAGTTCTGGTGGCACTGTAGGTTAAGTGTTGGACTGCATATTCACAAAGTTGGTGGTTCAAACCCACTAGCCACTCCAAGGGAAACCCCAAGAAGAAGTTCTAGTCTTCCTATAGGGTTGCTATGAGTCAGAACCAACTCAGTGGTGATGGGTATTTAATATACAAGTGGGGGTGCTTTATAGTAACTAGCAATTAAAAAAGAAATTAACTTTTCACTCAGGATGACTATATGAACTGCCCAGACATTTTAATTCTATAATTGTGTTTCAGCTTTTCACTTGCCTGTTGGATCTTCTTTTGGTACTTATCTTTCCCCAGTGAATCCATGCAGGTGTACATGAAACTGAGTTAGGCCATTGTGGAAAAAAACTGATATGCAGAATCTTTTTAAAGCTTACTTTTTAGAAGCCTGTTACACAAAATAATAATCTCAACTTTTTGTATTATATATTGTTGTTCTTTTTAAGCACCCAATATGTACATTTATTTGTAAATGACTATACTGATATACTGATCAAAGTTATGATAACCTTACATACCTAAATATCAGGTACAGGTACAATGTAAAGCAAATGTAGGAACTAAAAAGACGATAAATAAGAAGTTCTGGGTTTTGCTTCTAGCATTCCAAGAATATATTCTGTATACTTAATTCTGGCAGATAATAGGACTGTCCTCAGATTCCAATAGTTCTTCAGGAGGTTTATTTTAAGCCAGTCACCTTTCTTTGGTGATAGCATTACAAAAATAATACAATTCTATATTTTTATGATCATTGATAAGCTAGAAATCACTCAAAAGGTTTGTGGTCTATAAGTCGTATATTTTTAGAGATCAAAAAAGTTAATATAAACATTTGCATCTATCAGTGCTGCTGTTGTGTGCTGTTGAGTCACTTCTGACTCTTAGGAACACTGTATAGGATTTCCAGGAGTAACTGGTGTGCCAACCTTACGTTAAGCACCACACCAGGCCCATATATCACTGCCAAAGATTTTATATATGTTTTCTTAACTTCTTATTGTGAATTAAATGAAGTTTTACAGAGGAGTTCATCAATTTAACATTCAACGAATCATACACTTTGTTTCATCTCAATAATTGCAGTCCCCTCCATGTAACAACAGTTACTCCACTTTCTTCTTGTGGTTCTTATCTTGATTCCACCCTCCTTTCCAACCCTTCTTAACTTTGTCCTTAGGTAATTGTTCCCTTTTGATCTTGCATGGTTGTCTGTTCTGTGGTGGGCATACTTTACTAGTGTTCTTGTTAAGGGGCCCCTCCATGCCTATCTACCACTTGGTGGAAAATTGATTGAGCCACAAGATGGAGTTCTATTCAAGAACTGAAGGGTAGCTTAGGGCTATAGTCTCGGGTTCATTCAGTCACTATCTGACCAGTAAGCCTTGACATTTTTATAATTTTTAGTTTTTGTTCCACATTGTCTCCTACTCTATCCAGGACTTTCTAATGTGGTTCCCTTCAGAGCAGTTGGTAGTGGTAGTCAGACACCATCTAGTTCTTCAGGTCTCAGAATCCTGAAGACTGATGTTCACATGTTAAATTAGTCCAGCAGACTAATTTATTCTAAGCATCTTCAATTCTCATCACTCTTTTTCCTTCCACACATGGGGAGATCAACAGCTGCGCCTCATGGACTTTTAAGATCCAGGTTGCTGCTCACCAAAGTATGATGTAAACATTGTCTTTATGGACTATGTTGTGACATTTGACCCTGGTGTCCCCCAAGACTATGGTCCTGAGCCCCTAGTCCCAGCAACTTGGTGCCTCAAGGTGTTTGTTAATGTCTCAGAAGTTTTTGTCATTTTGTCCCCCGTATGCTCCACCATCTCTATAGGTGTGTTTACAACTAAGGTAAATACCCACGCACAAATAACCTTTGTCAAATCCGTATATATTTTGGGTATTCTCTCACTCTCCTTCCCATACCTGTTCAGTCTGTGTTCTTTCCATGTATCTACCCATCAAACTCTGTTGTTGCAGGGCTGTGTGTATAACAGTATTTGCCTCTATCCCCTTTAACCCTTACATTCCTCTCTGTGCCCTTACCCATCTTCATCATTCTTCTGCCAACCACCCTTTTATATATATTGCCTTCCCTGTAACCCAGATTAGCACGTCTATCCTTTAGCCAGTGAATTACTTTCCCTTCCCTCCTACCCCTAGTAACCATCAGAGGATGTTTCTTTTAGCATGAAAACCTTTTCTTGACTAGTTCTCATGCAATATTTGAGTAATTTCACCCAGCATAATGTTATCCAAAGGAGCTCTGGTAGCGTAGTGGTTACAAGTTGGGCTACTAACCTCAAGGTCAGCAATTTGAAACTACCAGCTGTTCTGCGGGAGAAAGATGAGACTTTCTGCTCCCATAAAGATTTACAGCCTTGAAAACCCTGTACAGGGTCTCTATGAGTCAGAACAGACTCCACGGCATATAACCACCACCACCAATGTTATCCAGGTTCATCTGTGTTATGAGGTGTTTTATTGTGAACTGAGTGATACGTTACAGGGCAAATGATCAGTTTTATACTCAACAAATCATACTTTGTTTCATTGCAATAATTATCCCCTTCATGCACCATTGGTTAACAGTATTTACCTCTATCCCCCCCCCCTTTTTTTTTTTGATGCACAAAAAATGTATATTCATTTAAATGTCCAAAGGGCACACTTTGCAGCCAGCCCACAGGCACACAGCCTTTCTCATTCCATGGGCCTAGAGTCCTCAGCTGCTCTATTTCTTTATGCCATTGCCTCTCTGCCTCCATCTCTGCTTTCACAGCTTTTCTGGTTAGGACCCCATGCTCCACTCATGCTCTTCTCTCTTGATGGTCCTAGGGTCCTCTAATTGTTATTCTTCAATATTGTGTATTATCCTATTATGTGTTGTACCAAGGTATGTTTATCCATTCTTCCATTGGTGGACATTTAGGCTGTCTCCATCTTATTGTTGTTGTGAATAATGTTGCAATGAACATGGGTGTGCATATAAATATTTGTGTTATTGCTGGTTTGTTGTTTTTTTTGGAGGTGGTGGGGAGGGATATATACCCAGTGTGGTGCTGTGGACTAATGCCTAAGACTGCAAAGTCATTTGAACTGCAAGGTCGGTGGTTCAAGCTCACCAGCTGCTCCTTGGAAACCCTGTACAGGGTCGCTATGGGTCAGAATTGACTCGAGGACACTTAACAACAACAACAACAACAACAACATATACCCTGTAGAGGGACAACTGGGTCATACAGTATCACAGTTTCCAACTCTTTGAGGAAATACCATACCATTTTCCACAGCGGTTGCACCACTTAACAATTCCACCAGGAGTTGTCCTAGTCTCTCCACACCCTCACCAATATTTGTTTTTGTTTTTTTAACATTGCTGTTAATGCTGAAGGAGCTCTGGTAGTGTAGTGGTTACAAATTAGGCTGCTAACCTCAAGGTCAGAAGTTCGAAACTACCAGCTGTTCTGCAGGAGAAAGATGAGGCATTCTGTTCCCATAAAAATTTATAGCCTTGGAAACCCTGTACAGGGTCACTATGAGTCAGAAGTGACTCCACAGCAAACCACCACCACCATTAATGCTAGGGTGTCTCATTTGATTTGCATCTCTCTAATACTAATGGAAAGGAGCTCTGGTAGCGTATTGGTTACGAATCGGGCTGCTAACCTCAGGGTTATCATTTCGAAACTACCAGCTGTTTGTGGGAAAAAGACAAGGCTTTCTGCTCCCATAAAGATTGACAGCCTCGGAAACCCTGTACAGGGTCGCTGAGTCGAAACCGACTCCACGGCACATAACAACAACAACAATGATTAATGGAAGGAGCTCTGGTAATGTAGTGGTTACGAATCAGGCTGCAAATCTCAAGATCAGCAGTTCGAAACTACCAGCTGTTCCGCAGGAGAAAGATGAGGCTTTCTGCTCTCGTAAAGATTTACAGCCTTGGAAACCCTGTTCAGGGTCGCTATGAGTTGGAACCAACTCCATGGCACATACCAACAACAACGACTAATGGGGACTCCTGGTGTGGCGCTGTAAGATAAGCACTTGACTGTAAACCACAAGGTCAGATGTTCAGACCCAAAGTTGCTCCTCGGAAAATCTGTGTAGGATCACTATGAGTCGGAATCAACTCGACAGCACTTAATAACAACAACAGTGACTAATGGGAGTCTTGATGCAGCACTGTAGAATAAGCACTGAACTGCTAACCTCAAGGTTGGTGGTTCAAACCCACCAGTCTCTACTTGGAAACCCTATATAGGGTTGAGTAGGAATCAACTTGAGGGAACTTAACAACTAACACAACACATGACTAATGATCACTAACATTTCTTCATATGCTCGTTATGTGCCTGACATTTTTTGGTAAAGTGTCTATTCATGTCCTCTGTTCATTTTCAATTGGGTTATATTGTCTTCTTGTAGGGGTATTTGTAGTTTCCTATAAATTTTAGAGATTGGTCCCTTGTCTAATATGTCATTGTAAAAAAAAAAAAAATGTTTCACAGTCTGTGGGCTCCCTTTTTTCTCTTTTGGTGAAATCTTTTGATGCACATAAGATTCTAATTTTTATTATGTCCTAGTTATCTATTTTGTCCACAATTGTTTGTGTGTTTTTTGCCATGTTTTATAGTCTGTGTATGCCATATTTTAGAACCTTTAAGTTTGTCCCATTTTTTCACTGCTAATCATTATATTTCAGGGATTTATACTTAGATCTTTAATCCATTTTGAGCTAACTTTTTGTATATGGTGTGAGAGATAGGTCTTGTTTCATTCTTTTGCAAATTGATTTCCAGTTTTGCCAACACCGTTTGCTGAACAGACTATTTCTTACCCCACTTAATGTATTTTGGCTCTTTGTCAAATATCAGTTGACTATATGTGGAGACTTTACTTCTGGGTTCTGAATTCTATTCCATTGATCTATGTATCTTTCATTTTACCAATACCAGGCTGTTTTGACCACTGTGGCCTTGTAGTAACTTTTGAAATTAGGAAGTGAGAGGTTTCCACTTTGTTCTTCTTAAGCTGTGCTTATCTGAGGTCACTTTGCCTTCCTTACAAAGTTTGTGATCGTTATTTCAATCTCTTCAAAGAATGTTGTTGAAATCTGGATTGGGATTGTGTTATATCTGTAGATTGCTTTGGGTAGTATTGACATTTTCACAATGATAAGTCTTCCTATCCATGAGCATGGTATATTCTTCCATTTTTGTAAATCTCTTTTGGTTTATTGTAGTAGTGTTTTGTAGTTTTCTTTGTGTAGGTCTTCTGTTTCACTGGTTAGATTTATTCCTAAGTATTTCATCCTTTGAGGGGCTATTGTAGAAGGTATTGTTTTTCTGATTTCCTTTTCAGAGTTGTCTTTATTAATATAGAGAAATCCAACTAATTTTTGTTTGTTGATCTTATGCACTTTGCTGAATCTTCCAATGAGTTTCAGTAGTTTTTTTTTTTGCTGAGTCTTTGGGATTTTCTATGTATAGAATCATACCTTCTGCAAAGAGAGTTTTACTTTTTCATCTTTGCCACTTTGGATGTCTTTAGTTGCCCTTTCTTGCCTTATATAGCTCTAAGACTTCCAACACAATATTGAGCAGGAATGGCGATAAAGGGCATCCTTGTCTGGTTCCTGTTCACAAAGGGAATGCTTTTAGTTTCTCTCCACTGAGAGTGATGTTGGCTGTTGGTTTTGTTTATATGCTCTTATGTTGATGAATTTCCCTTCAATTTCTACTCTGTTCAGTGTTTTTATCAGGACTAGATGTTGGATTTTGTCAAAGCCTTTTCTGCATCAGTTGATACAATCATGTGGTTTTTCTCCTTTTTGTAATATATGTGGTGAATTATGTTAATTGTTTTTCTAATATTGAACCATCCTTGCATCTCTGGTATGAATCCTGTTTGGTCATGATGTACTATCAGAAGTTCAGAGTTCTGGGACAGTTCTCTGAATCTGTTTTGCCCAGTTTTCCATGCTTCACTGACAGGGGTCTGCATGGCCTTTCTGCCTAGTCCGTCATCTGACTTTGGTTTTGAAGATAGTGTAAGATGTGGGTTTTGTTTCAATTTTCTGCAAATGGATTTCCAGTTTTGCCAGCACCGTTTGTTGAAGAGACTATCTCTTCCCCCATCTAATGTGTTTTGGTCCTTTGTCAAAGATCAGCTGAATGTATGTGGATGGCTTTACTTCTGTGTTCTCAATTCTGCTCCAGTGATCTATGTATCTTTCATTGTTAACAGTACCAGGCTGTTTTGACCTTAGATTTTAAGATCAGGAAGTGAGAGGCCTCCAAATTTGTTCTTCTTAACTAATGCTTTGTTTATCCGAGATAACATATAAAGTTGTTGTTTCCATATAAAGTTGTTGTTGTTGTTGTTGTTGTTATGTGCTGTGGAGTCAGTTCCGACTCATAGCGACCCTGTACAGGGTTTCCAAGACTGTAACTCTTTAAAAGAGCAGAAAGCCTCATCTTTCTCCCGTGGAACACCTAATAGTTTCGAACTGCTGACCTTGCAGTTCACAGCCCGATTCGTAACCACTACACTTCCAGAGCTCCTTTCCATATAAAGTTAATGATCAGTTTTCCATCTCTTTAAAGAATGATGTTGGAAACTGGATTGAGATTGCATTATATCTATAAATTTCTTTGGTAGTGTTGACATTTTCACAATGTTTAGTCTAAGATTTTATATTTTGATTCTTTAATAAAGGCAGACTGCATGTGTTGTAGGACATACCAACTCAAACTTACTGTTGAATACACATAATGAATATTTAATACAAGATGATAAAGGGGTTAAAGTACCAAAAAGTCTTTGTGGCACAAAATGCATACAAGTGTTAGTGTAAGCTACTGCTCCTATCTCTCTCTTCCATCATAATTGTTACCATATGTAAATAATACACATAGTGGTGAAATTTTTTGCCATTTTACAAACCACACAGAAAGAAATGTCTAATATTACCCTAAGTTCTGATCTTTCTTAAAGGAAGAAAATAATATCTAATCCCCAAGACCTCAATATGCAGAAACTTAAAATTGTACAGTACATTTAGAAACTGTCAACATATTTCTGTTAGAATCTTAGTCAAATTATTTTACTTCTCGTTTTAGTTTTAGTCTGTGTCATCCTTTCAGCATCTATTGTGTGCCTATATTATGTTTCTTTATTAAGTAGTTGGTCTATGGTTTTAATCTTTATAATTTATTCAGAGAAGGTTTATTTGTATGTAAATCCTAATACATTCAAATCAACTCAGGTAAGCATCCCTCTCTAGTACTGGCTCTTAGTCTTTCTTGGGTTATCGATTATTTTGTGAGTCTGATCAGAATATTGACACTGAGTGTAGACATGCATTTTGCACATTATTTAAGAAGATTTACAGACTTCTTACTCATGCTTGTACCCAGGTTTACAGCAACATTTTTGTATTAATGGGTTCACAAGTTTGTATTAATAAGATTAATGTATTACTTCATTGTGTATTCTGTTAGGTTTACCTCATTTTTCATCTGGTATTTTCCGCTGCTGGGGAAGGGATACTTTTATTGCTCTTAGAGGTCTGCTGTTGATTACTGGACGCTATTTAGAGGCCAGGTAGGAGATATTCTAATAAACTGCAATATAAGTTTATGTATGTTTCCAATATGCTCTTCAAAGTTTTGTCCATCTCGTCTCAGGGACATTGAGAGGTATGTTTTCCTTGATGGTTTTGTTTTGTTTTTAATGGTCATTTAATAGGATATAGAATTCCAATGGGGTAATAAAAAATTTTTTAAGTCTTTGATGTTATTAAGTTCCAGTCCATCATATTACAGGTCAGGTTGTCTTCAACTTTTGCTAATTTCATTCAACTGAAGTAACATTTTTATAGTCATTTTATTAGCATCACTCACTTAACAGAAAAATGTCTATGCCTGAATATAAGAGTGTATATTCTGAGTATAAGAATTCAGATTAACTATTAGGTAAAAATTTTAAATCTACCATTTTTGTCCTTTTATAATGGGGATATTATTGTGGGTTCTTTGAGTCCAGTAAAAAGAATTGTTGTTTTAAGTGTCATCAAGTCAGTTCGGTAGAAAGAATTCATAATCTTTCATTTTTCTCTGTTGTCAGGCCTTATATCCTCCAGTTTCAAGTTTTATGTATTAAAATGGGTTGTGTTTTTATATCACAATAATATGACTGAATTAATCAAAAGTAGAAAAGAAACTCTAGAACAGTGCTGCTCAGTGTGTGTTCCATAGGTCATCAGGGTCTCTAGTATCTGAGAGTGTGTTGGCAATGTCCAGTCCAGTCTCTAACATCACAGATGAATACGGTGTACCAGAGAAGATAAATCACACAGATTGTTAGAGAAAAGGCCAGGGCTACAATCAAGGTCTCTAACTTAATCCAGTGCTTATTCTATCACATTGTGATGCTGTTCTATGATGATGAGTCAAAATTATCCGCACCCTGGCTGTAAAATTTATTTTAATCATCTTTTAGAAAAGACAAATACATCATTTTGTGGTGTAATCTCCTTACTTTTCAATACATTTTGTCCATCTAGCAGCAAGGTTTCATACTCCCTTATTAAAAAATGTTTTAGGCTGAGCTGTGAGCCACAAATACACTGCTGTTGTCACTTCTTCATCAGAGGTGAATCTTTGTCATCAACAGGCTGCTTTCAAGGGACCAAACAAGTGAAAGTCTAATGGAGCAAGATCAGGACTATAAGAAGGATGCTTTAACACCTCAAAATGAAGTTTTTTAGAGTGTCAGCAGTTTGGGCCGAAGTGTGTAGGCCTGCTTTGTCATTGCAAGATCACAATACCCTTGGATAGTTCTCTGAATATTATCCAAAGTTTAGGCTTCAGCTCTTCAGTTAGCATCTCACTGTATTGAGCACTGTTGATTGTTGACCCTTTTTCCTGACAGTGTTTCAGTACTGGCCCTTATCAATCCTAGAAAACTGTAAGCATCAATTTTCCAGCCAATGGTTGACTTAACGTTTTCTTGGTCTGTGATTGAGGATGTTGCCATTCTATATTCTGCCATTTACTCCCAGCTCGGAGTGATGAATCCATGTCTTGTCACCAGTAATAATTTTTTTTAAAAGAAACTTTTACCTTCCTTCAAGTATCAGTCTAAATTTTGTTTGCAAATTTTGTTTGCACAGCAGTGACCTTGAAAGGAAAGTGCTGATAAAATAGTGCAGCCAGCAGAAGTTTTTATATAACTGGAGCACAGATAATTTTTGACTCACACTCATACATTAAAATATAAAGTCATGAGGGCAGGAGAAGAAATATATTCAAAATAATAGTCACCAGCAGTGACTAATTTTTGTCTTCAGCTTTTCAGGTGATTGTGGTTTTATTTCAAATGATGATTCACTGAATTCTCTTGTTTAGGAACATTATCTTAGCATTTGCTGGAACCCTGAGACATGGTCTCATTCCTAACCTCCTTGGAGAAGGAACTTATGCAAGATACAACTGCCGAGATGCTGTGTGGTGGTGGCTGCAGTGTATTCAGGATTACTGCAAAATAGTTCCAAATGGTACAGACATTCTCAAGTGTCCAGTTTCCAGAATGTATCCTACAGATGATTCTGTTCCTTTGTCTGCTGGCACAGTGGTAAAGATCATTTCTTCATTTTTCCTGTAATAAAAAAGTGTTTTTTAGCTTCTTATATAAAAGTAAATATTAATGAAGAGTAAAAATTTTAGTAAGAATTCTTCAGATAGTATTTGTTCAGCATATTCTGGTGTATGGTTTGGTACTATAAGTGATTGCAGAGATAAGACTTGCTCATTCCCTAAAGAGCTGTAAACATGGTAGAAGATAAGATGTATGTGTAAATATGATCATTGCAAAAAGGTGTTCAAGAGGGCTTGTCTTATGAAAGCGGGGAAGAAAACATAGTAGGTGAGTCTCAGTGGGATGCTTCAGAAAGTAATTAAAATTCCACTTAAAGTGAGCTTTAAAAGGTGAGTAGCATTTCAGCCAAGATGGAGAATGTGATAGGGAGACGTTGAAGGTGAACAAATAACAAAGCTCAGGTGAGTGAAGATGAAGTTTCATACATACTGCTTAATCTGGTTTAGTTTTTCATCTAGGGCACCTGAAGAGTAGTGAGATATCATGGAAAGAATGAACCAGGTTGTGGATGGTCTGAGCAGTTTTTCCCCATTCAAGCATGTGTAATTCTTTTGTACTTTTGTCACTTACAGTATGCCTTTATGTTAACAATTTTTAGGGCATATGACTATGAGAATTATAAGATATTCCAGGGCTAGTATATGTTTATGTCCCAGGATGTTTATATCATGAAGTCTAATGTCATAAACATTTTTTCCAAAAAGTTTAGAAATATTTGCCAACTACTGTTGTTAACCAGCAGATTTCAATCATATGAATAGATTCATGTTATAAGCTGATACTTATTTCGCACATAACTGTTTTCTTTTTGTTAATAAAAACTTTGTATAATATTATAAAAAGCTTCATAGCCTTTATAATTATTAATAGAATTTGTGTAACATAGGTTTTTTTTTTTTTTTTGGCTTTTTTAAAAAGTTTTTATTGTGAACTGAGTGATAGTTTACAATGGGAGAACATAAGCTTTACACCATCGTTTGATTGCAATGATTACAATCTCCTTCATGCATCATCATTTAACAGTATTTGCTTCCATCCTCTCTTTTTTTAGGAGGGGGCGGGAATGTACACAAAAACACTCAGGAATATATAATAATTTAAACAACCAAAGTGCACAAGCCTGCCTCCTGGTCACCAACACCCAATCCTTCTCTGTCTGTGAGTCTAGAGTCCTGAGCTGCTTCCTCTTTCCATGTCCCCACCTCTGCCTCCATCTCTGGTGTCACAGCTTCTCTGGATAGGGTCCCCTAGTCAGTCTGTGGTCTTCTTCCTTGATGATCCTAAGGCCCTCTGCTTCTGGACTGTAAGATTATCTAAGCCCCCATTTTTGAGTAACATAGGTTTTTGGTTTTGTTCAGAAATTGGTGGGGGTTTTTTCAATGAAGTATAATAAACATATAAGGACTCTTAAGCATTTGTTTCTGTGTAACACTTTACCTCTTTTTAAAATATGTAATTATTTTAGATAGCTCCCAAGATATCATCCTGATTATCACATTTATTATTTTTATTAGTAAAGAAGATAACTTATTGACTCTATATTCACTAAGGATATTTTCCAAAGATCATAGATCTCTACCGAAGTACCACTTTAGCACATAAATTATCCCAGTTACCTATGTATGCAGATGAGCAAGATCAACAATGCCAATTTAAACTTCAGGTCCTGGGTGACAAGCTAGATTCATTTACTAGCTGATCAATTCACTTTCATAGTAATTTTTGTAAGCTCATAAAATTTATTTCATGCCTTAGCAAAATTATGAAGTATTTCATGTCAAAAATTTGAATAATCAGGACTACAGATATGAAATATTCATATGCCAAAGGTTGACTGTATTTGACTTATAGGAGCTGCTGCTTTTCCTGGTCCCAACCCTAATGCTTATTTCTCCATTCAAAAGAAAATATTTGTTTTCATATGACTTCAGTTGTGGGATTTGGGGTAACATAAGAAAAATTCAGTTTCTAACAGAGTAATTTCCATTATGTCTCAAACAGGACCAACCATTGTTTGAAGTAATACAGGAAGCTATGCAAAGACACATGCAGGGCATACAGTTCCGAGAAAGAAATGCTGGACACCAGATAGATCGTAACATGAAGGATGAAGGTACACAAATTAGCTGCAGAGTAAAGATTTACTGATGAGTTGAAATGAAACTTAGTAATTGTTATTCACTTGACAAATATTTATTTGTGTGTGTAACCTCAGAGTATATCAATTGAAAAGGTTAATAACACAGTTCCTGATCTCACGATAGTTTAAATTTTGTTTTTAGAGGCAAGGTATAATTTTATATCTTTTTTTAGCCAATGTGAAAGATAATTTTAGTGGTTACACTTATATTCATGACAGAAAACTGAGGCTTTCTGGTCCTGCAAAGTTTTAACAATAGCACACATATAATCATCATAATAATTTCAGTTAATTGAATGTTTTGTGCCAGGTTCTTCCTGTGTTATTCCCATTTAACATTTCCCAAGAACTGAAGCAGAGTAGATTACCCAAAAACCTACAACTACTAAATTGAAGAGCTAGGTTTGGATCCATGACCCATCTGTCTCAGTAGCCTGGCCTCTTATAAAATACTTTTTTAAAAGAAAAAGTTTGTTTGTACAAAAAAATTTAAATCAGCATACTCTTTTTTTCCCAAACTGGTAGGTTTCAATATTTTATTAAAATAGCATATCAACAACTATTAACCAAGCATATGTTACTTTTATCATCCACTTCCCACCTGAACATTCAACATAATACAGAGATGATACTTTTGTAACCTCTTTTGAAATAATCATGTTCCTCATCTTATGACATAAGTCAGTTGTTGTTGATTTTAAGTGATGTTGAGTTGGTTGCGACCCATAGCGACCCTGTATATGGTTTCCATGGAGCAGCTGGTGAGCTTGAAACATTGACCTTGCAATTCAAACCAACTTTGCAGTCCGGCACATTAACCCACAGAGCCACACCAGGACTGTCAATGCAAGGCTATTAATATTTCATTTAATTCCTCATTCACCTCAGAGAACCATTAGAATGGGTTATTTATTATTATCTTATAAAGCATGTATTGCTTTTTGGGTATTTAGATTTTTTTTAACTTTTTAATTTAAAAATAGAGACTCATAGGTAGTGTCAAAAATCATACATGGAATCCCATGAACCCTTCATCCAACTTTCCACAATAGAGACATGCTTCATAACTGTAGTATAATACCAAAAGCAAACAAAGACATTAGTGTAATAATGTTAACTTGAGTATAGACTTGATTCTGTTTCATCAGTTTTACATTGACTAATTTGTGTTTGTGTATAAATTTCTATGCGGTTTGACACCATGTAAGGACTACCACAATCAAGATATTGAATTGCTCCATTACCGTAAAGGAACTCCCTTTTTCTATTCCTTTTTAGTTTATGCATTCCCTCCACCACATCCCTGGTCTCTGGCAACTAATAATTAGTTCTGTGTTTTGTTTTGTTTTTAATATTTTTATTATGTTTGAGGTGAAAGTTTACATAACAAATTAGGTCCCCATTTAATCATTTTTATACCATTTATCCACATTGATTACTTTTTCACAATGTACCAACATTCTTATAACTTCCATTCTTTTTGTTCTAGCTCCATAGCTTTCCTGCCCCAACTTGGCATCTCATCTTTGTTTTAGGGTAAATGTTGGCCATTTGGTCTCATGTTCTTGATTATCAAGGAAGCACAGTATTTACAGGTGGTATTATTTGTTTTATAAACCAATCTTTTATTTGGATGAAAGGTGGCTTCAGTTCCAAGTTCAAAGGGGGGTAGTCTCAAAGGTTCTACTAGCCCAATAAGTCTGGCCTTTTAAAGTTGTCTTCTATATTTTTCTCCCAGTCTGTCTGGAACCTTCTGTGTAGTGAGAATGGTTAGTAGTGATAGCTGGGCACCATATATTGTTCTTTTGTTCACAGAACTATGTATTTGGTTCATGTGGGCTATAAGGCTTGTGGACTACTACTTTTTGCATCTTTCTTTCCTTTATTCTCATTTGTTCTAGACAAGCAGAGATCAATAATTGTTTCTTAGATGGTCACTCACAAACTTTTAAAACCCCACATGTTACTCACCGACCTAAACTGTACAACATTATCTTTATGAACTGTTTTGTGTTGATTAACTGAGTTGTCCCATGAGACTATGGTTCCAAGCCTTCAAACCCAGTCAGCTAACCCTGTGAGGTGTTTGGTTATATTTTGGTAGTATCCATAACTATTCCTTGTATGTATTTTATTATATATATAAGCATACAAGGAGGCTTCAGAAAATTTGTGGAAAACAAGAAATTAAAAAATAATGTAATTCTTCCACAAACTTTTTGAAGCCCCCTCTTTTATGCCTACAGATGCATATACTTGCATACCCATATACTTACATGTGCCATTCTATACACCTATATGCATACTTTTCTACCCATGTAATTACACACTTGTTTATAAGTTATTTTTATTGTAAAATTGTATGTTATAGCATTTTTCAAAATTGTCCTTTATTCTTTTTTATTCCCCCCTTGTAGTATAGGTTCTTTTTCTTTGCCTTTTACAATAGTGGTCCTATTCAGTATTTCTCCTTTTGTGACTGAATAATTTCACTCAACATAATGTCCTCAAGGTTCATCCATGTTATGCAGTGGCTTGCAGCTTCCTTATTATTCTCCAAGGTAGCATAATATTCCATTGTGTGTATGTACCACAATTTGTTTATCCATTCGTCAATTGATGGGCACTTAGGCAGTCTCCATCTTTTTGCTATTGTAAATAGTGCTGCTGTGAACATTGGTGTACATATGTCTACTCATGTTATGGCTCATATTTCTTGTGGGTAAATACCAAGTAAAGAATTGCTGGATCATAAGACATTTCTATTTCCAACCTTCTGAGGAAGCGCCATATTGCTTTCCAAAGTGGTTGGACCATTTTGCAATCCCACCAGCAATGCAGGAGCGTCTCAGTCTTTCCACATCCTCGCTGCCATTTATTGTCCTCTACTTTTTTGATCTTTGCTGTTATTGCTGGTGTGAGATGATATCTCATTGTTGTTTTGATTTGCATTTACAAATCGGGCTGCAAACCTTACGGTCAGCAATTCGAAACTACCAGCTGTTCCACAGGAGAAAGTTGAGGCTTTCTGCTCCCATAAAGATTTATAGCCTCAGAAACCTTATACAAGGTCGCTATAGGTTGGAATCAACTCAACAGCACTTAACAACAACAACAACAATGGCTAGTGATCATGAACATTTCTTCATATGTTTGTTGGCTGCCTGGATCTCCTCATTGGTGAAGTGTCTGTTCATGTCCTGTGCCCATTTTTTAATTGGGTTATTTGTCTTTTTCTTGTAGAGGTGTTGTAGTTTCCTATATATTTTAGAAATGAGTCCCTTATCTTATGTGTCATTGCAAAAGATTTTTTCCCATTCTGTGGGTTCCCTTTTTACGCTTCTGGTGAAGTCTTTTGATGCACATTAAGTGTTTAATTTTTAGTGTGTCCCACTCATTTATTTTGTTTGTGTGGTTTTCAAAATGTTTGGTAGTCTGTGTATGCCCTTAATTAGAGCCCTCGCATTTGTCCCTATTTTTTCATTGATGGCCTTCATAATTCTAAGATTCACATTTAGGTCTTTAATCCATGCTGAGTTGGTTTTTGTATAAGGTGTGAGGTGAGGGTCTTGTTTCAATCTTTTGCATGTCATTTTCCAGTTCTGCCAGCACCATCTGTTGAAGAGATTATCACCTCCTCATATAATATATTTAGGCACTTTGTCTAAAATCAGTTGGTTATATGTGGATGGATAAATTTCTGGATTCTCGATTCTGTTCCATTGATCAATGTATCTTTCATTGTACCAGTACCAGGCTGTTTTGACCACTGTAGCCATGTAATACATTTTGAATTCAGGGAGTGAGAGATTTCCAACCTTATTCTTCTTCTTAAGTAGTACTTTGCTTATCCTGGGTCTCCTTCCTTTTCATATACAGTTTGTAATAATTTTTTCCATCTCTTTGAAGAATGTCATTGAAATCTAGATTGGGATTACATTATATGTGTAAATTGCTCTGGGCAGTATTGACATTTTCACAATGTTAAGTCTTCCTATCCAGGAGCATGGTATATTCTTCCATTTTTGTAGGTCTCTTGATTTCTTGTAGTTTTCTTTGTATAGGTCCTTTGTTTTTCTGGTTACATTTATTCCTAGATATTTCATCCTTTGGGTGTCTATTGTAAGTGGTTTGTTGTTGTTGTGTGCTGTGCCCTGTACAGGGTTTGTGAGGCTGTAAATCTTTATGGGAGTAGAAAGCCTCATCTGTCTCCCGTGGAACAGCTGATAGTTCCAACCTGCTGACCAATTCATAACCACTGTGCTACAGAACTCCTTATTGTAAATGGTATTGCTTTCCTAATGTCTTTTTCAGTACTGTAGTTATTGGTATAGAGGAATCCAACTGATTTTTATATGTTGATCTTATACCCTGCCACTTTGCTGAATCTTCCAATGAAGTCTAATAGCTTTTTTACCAAGTCTTTGGAATTTTCTATGAATAGGATCCTATCATCTGCAAATAGATTTTTACTTCCTCTTTGCCAGTTTGGATGCCTTTAATTTCCCTTTCTTGCTAAGACATCCAGCACAACATTGAATAGGAGTGGTGACAAAGGGCATCCTTGTCTGGTTCCTGTTTGCAGAGGGAAGACTTTCAGTTTTTCTCCATTGAGAGTAATATAGGCTGCTGGTTTTGTATATATGCTCTTAGTTATGTTGATGAATTTCCCTTCAATTCCTACTTTGTTGAGTGTTTTTATCAGGAATGGATGTTGGATTTTGTCAAATGAAGTTTGAGCATTCTTGTGCATCTCCCCTCACTTCATATCAGCTGGACGCTTCACTCTCAGCTCCAGCCCTCTGTGGCTGTGTCCTTGTCCATGGGATCAGGAGTCCCCAGGTCTCACCATACTGCTGGTCGATGGTAGTGTATGTAAAGTGGTCGGACTTAGCCCACATCTTCATTGCTGCTTTTCCACAACTTCCACTCACCAGTAGAGCAGCGTGGTTGCCAGTAAGCTTACATGCCTGCTTATGTATTCCCTTTGAGTTTCAGTCTTAGAAGGGGCCTTGTCCTGAAAGGACTTGATTGTTTGCCTTGATGGGTCCCTGGCGAATAACTTGCTTGTTATTGTTGTAGCCAATCAGACTGTTGTTTTTGGTTTTGGTTTTTCCTGCTGGTCTTTCTTTTAAGAAGTATCTTCTGTTCCTGTAGCTGCTACAGGCTGGTCTGCTTGTCTTTTCAAGTGAGAATTTCCCACCTCATAAGGTTCTGGATGGGGATCAGGATTCCACCTAAGATCTTATACACTACAACGGCTCTGCAAGAAGCTTCTTTTCACAGGACAAGTTCTAACACCCTTTTTAGGTATCCAATTAGTTATAGGCTGAAGACGGGCTTACAAGCTTTCTATAATCATGTTTCCAGATATTCTTTGCTATCTCCGTCCCAGTTTTCCATTTTGCAGTGTTATTTTACATTTGAGAATTATTTGTTTCATATAGTATCTGGATAATGCTGGCATGAGGTTTAGTCTGAGGTTTTTTGTCTAATGTCGTTAATTCTCTGTCCAAAGGAATCCCATTAATATTTCTTCTAAGATCTGGTTTTAACAAATTCCCTTGGTTTCTGTTTTAAAATGTCCTTGTTTCACCATCATATTTGAAGGACAATTTATATATATATTATATGTATATTTGACTAACAATTCTTATCTTTCAGGGTTTTGTACTCATATATGTCATCCTGTTACCTTCTTGCCTGCATAGTTTTTCTGAGAAATCAGCACTTCAGCACTTAGTTTTACTGGTGTTGCTTTGTAAGGAATACTTGTTTTTACGTGAGCTGTTCTCAGAATTCTTTTTTTGTTTTTGTTCTTAGAAAATTTGATTATGATATTTCTTGGTAACTTTCTTTTAGGGTATATCCCCTATAGGCTTCATTGAGGTTTTTGGATGGAAATTTCTTCATCTTTATGATATTAGAGACATTTTCTTCTAATAAATCTTCAAAGATTCTCTGTGCTTTTTTTTTACCTCTCCTCCTCTTCTGGAATTCCAATTATATTGAAAACTTTTTCTCTTGGTCATGTCCCAGATAATTCTTAGGCTTTCCTACTTTTCCTTCATTCTTTTTTCTGATGGTTCCTCAGACAGATTAATGTAAAGGACTTTGTCTTCTATTTGACTGATTCTTCCTTCTATTGCTTCAGTTCTACTTCTGTGCCTTTCATAAAGTCATCTATTCCGGATATTTTATTAATCCTCTGGAGTTCTAGTTATTGTTCTTGTCTGGCTTTTATTTACCTATTCATTTTGACATTTTGCTCTTGTATTGTTTCCCTGGATTATTTTAGGTTTTTTTTCTGTGTTTTCCATAAACTCTTTGAGTATCCTATATATTGTTGTTGTTGTTCAGTGCTGTTGAGTCAGTTCTGGGTGCTGTTAAGTTGATTAGGGTTTCCAAGGAGCGGCTGGATTGCATGAGAGAACATGACTTTAGGATTGGAAGAATACTCATTAACAATCTGAAATTTGAAGATTGTTGCAGACCGTGTAAGACTAGTCAGAGGTTCGAGGCCCTCTAGGGCTGAGTGTAACAAATGAGGCCACTGGCAGTTAATGGAAAATTGCTTTCATCTTAATATTCAGGTATATATATTAAATTAATACACTGGAGCCTTTGAAAATCCACAGATAAATGTGATATTTTCCTAAAGCGGAGACTAAAGGTTGCAAGGTTAAACCTTTCTCCAAAGGATTAACTAAAGGTTGCAAGGTTAAACCTTTCTCCTAAGGATTAACTAAAAGTATTTTAGCTACTTCTCGGTTCTTTGTTCTGTAGACAAAGAACCCATCCTCCCTAATCCCTTTTCCAGGTGCAGCCCATTCACCTGGGCGTCTCCTGCAGAACTCTCAACTTCCCCCAACTGACCTCAGGGGCTATAGATATGTTAATTGGGCCTGAGAATCCAAGTTGCTGGCCTGGGATTCGAACCAGTGAAGTACAATGTAAAGTTACCTGATTGTCTGGAAAATTACTGATGTTAGCTATATCCTGTTTTAGTCCCTCCCAGCTTGGTGTGAAACTCCTCCCCTAAATAAAACAGAGGCCCGAGCCTCCCCAGGCGTGCATTACTGGTTGGCAGGCATGGAGTAAAGATTGCGGTGCTTACGGGTTGGAAGGCACGCATTAAAGATTGCAGGGCAGTGAGTCGCTGCCTGCAGAGGCCATGATGCCTGTAGTCCCAAGCCTGCCCACCAGTGATGTATCCACCCTGGCTTTGGGGTGCCTCATTGTCTCCCTTCTTCTGTTTGTCTGTGTATTCTTTCGCTATCCCTATCGCCGCTGGATCTCCCCTCCTCGTGAACCAAAAATTCGTGACAACTATGTCGGGGTCAGACCCCGACAGAAGATGACACAATCTTAACTTGTTAGAAGCAAAGAGGACTTGAAATACTTACTGATAAAGATCAAAGACTGCAGCCTTCAATATGGATTACACATCAGTGCAAAAAATATCTTCACCACTAGACCAATAAATGGCTTCATGATAAACAGAGAAAAAAATTGAAGTTGTCAGACTTCATTTTGCTTGGATCCACTATCATGGAAACAGTAGTCAGTAAATCAAACTATATATTGCAATGGGCAAATCTGCTGCACAAGAACTCTTTAAAGTGTTCAGGAATAAAGATGTCAATTTGAGAACTAAGGTGTGCCTAACCCAAACTATGGTATTTTCAGTAGCTTCCTATGCATCTGAAAGTTGGACAGTAAATAAGGAAGACCTTAGAGGAATTGATGATGCATTTGAGTTATGGTAATGGAAAAGAATACTAAAAGTACTGCAGACTGCTAGAAGAACAAACAAATCTATATTGGAAGAAGTACAGTCAGAATACCCCTTAGGAGCCAGGATGACAAGACTTCATCTTTCATGCTTTAGACCTATTATCAGAAGGCACCAGTCCCTGGAGGAGGACATCCTGCTTGGTAAAGTGGATGTTCAGCAAAAAAAAAGAAGAAGACTTCTTATGAAATGGATTGACATAGTCACAGAAGCAATGGTTTCAAGTCTAACAATGATTGTAAGGATGGTGCAAGACCAGATAGTGTTTTGTATGTGAGTCAGAGCTGATGTGATGGTACCTAATAACAACAATACTTTGGATATGTTGACAGGAAGAACTGTCCCTGTATAGGACATCATTCTTGGTGAAGTAGAGAATCAGCTATAAAGAGAAAGACTCAGGGAGATGGATTGATGCAGTGGTAGCAACAGGGCACCCAAATATAACAATGGTGAGGATGGCACACAACTGGCCAATATTTCACTCTGTTGTGCATAGATAGTGTTGCATGAGTCAGAACTGACTCAATGGCACCTAACAACTGTCAAGATGGCCCTCAACTCATAGCAGCCCCATACACAGTGGGACAGATCACTACCTGAGAAATCCTGTGATTCATTACAGATCAGAGTGTAGTGACTCATAACATTTACAGTAACTGATTTTCAGAAATAGATTGCCAGGCATTTCTTCCTAGTCTGTCTTAGTCTGGACGTTCCACTAAAGCTTGTTCAATGTCATAGCAACATGAAAGTCACCACTGACAGGTGATAGCTGCACATACTTGTATATATGTATTATCATCTATGTTTTATATTTTTACAGAAAAGGCATCTTAACATTCATATATTTTTGCAACTTGCTCAGTCATTTTGTTTGGAGGATTTATACATTTGATACATATAAATTCAGTTCATAAATTTTAAATGATAGAGTTTTTTATTGTATGAATAAACTACAGTGTTTGTTCATTTGTCATTGTTTGTTTTGGCAGGGGGAGGACATTTACTAATACAGCCATCATTCCAAGGAATACCTTTATATATGTCTCCATGTACACATTAAGCAAAGGTTCCTCTACAATGCATATCTAGAAATGAAATTGCTGTGTGGTAAAATATGCACATCTTCAACCTTTTTAATATTACTTACTTATTTCCTTCCAGAGTGATTGTCCTTATTATAGTCCTTTGAAATTTTATAAATGTTTTATTTATTTTGCTTTTCTAGGTTTTAACATAACTGCAGGGGTTAATGATGAAACAGGATTTGTTTATGGAGGAAATCGCTTCAATTGTGGTACATGGATGGATAAAATGGGAGAAAGTGATAAAGCTAGAAACAGAGGCATCCCAGCCACTCCACGGTATTGCTTGCTTGTATTATTATATACTATTTAAAAACCACAAGTCTATGAAATCTTTTATTCTGTAATCCTTAAAGTCTTCATAGTAAATCAGTTAAAATCTCTCCCTCCTTCTTCCTTTCCCCTTTTCTCCTTCCACCCTGCTGCTTCCACTCTCCTTTCCCAGTCCCCATTAGAAACAAAGTCATCTTGTTCCCTGCTGAGCCTTTTTGTTCCCTGATTTCTCCTGCCTTCTATCCCAAGGAGAGTCCTGGTGTGACACTGTAGGATAAGCACTGGACTGCTAACCACAAGGTCGGTGGTTCAAACCTACCAACCCAAGGAGTTGCTCCTTGGAAACCTGATACAGGGTTGCTATGAGTCGGCCCCAACTTGACACCACTTAACAACAATCCCAAGGAGTGTTCCTTTTGGTTGGTTGTAATGCCTGATAAAGTCTCAGGTCTCAGAGATTGTTTTCTTATTTCAGATTTTATCTTTAATCAGCATTATCCATAAACATAACTACTTATTAGTCTTTTAACATGCTTTGCAAATTCCAATAAGCACCAGTTTAATTTGACATATCATTTGCTCTTATTCTTCCCTTCTCCCCATTAAAAATAATACTTTATAAATATTACATAGAATTATGTTCAACTTTCCTAGTTTTCTCCACCCCTATAGCCCATGTTTACTATCTTTTTTTCTAGTACTCTAGTCTCAATATTTTCTGATTCTTTACCGCTTTCCAGCTGTTTTCTCCTTTCATTCCATAGTCCTTGTTCTTCTTCAGAGAATTAAAAAAAAAATATCTTAAGAAAGTGAACTGTCACAAAAGCGTAAGCAATTTCTTCCGTAATACATATTCTTATTGTGTACTTTATAGATAGTTGTTCCTCTAATACATTAATTATTTAATCCATCAAGACTGCAACTGACAGGATACAATTTATTCTTGATTTTAGAGATGGGTCTGCTGTGGAAATTGTGGGCCTGAGTAAATCTGCTGTGCGCTGGTTGCTGGAATTATCCCAAAAAAAAATTTTCCCTTATCATGAAGTCACAGTAAGAAGACACGGTAAACTAGTTCATTTTATTTACAAAAAAAAACTTTTAATGTACCTTTTTATATTCATAACTTATTTAATCATCATTTGACTCAGTAGGCTAATACTATAAAATCTTGATGATTAAGAGGAAAGAAAAGCCATAAATGAACTAACATGAAAATTATAAAAGCTACTAACCATATTTTTATAGCATCTTTGAACTGAAAAATAAAAAACACTGTAGTTAACAAACGTACAATGTGCCTCTCTTTCCTCAGTATGACTGTGAGCAGTTATGAAATCTTTACAACTCTTTTTCTTGAATAGTGTTGTCCAATAAAAATAACACTTGGTCCGTATACATAACTGAATTTTGTCTAATAACCACATTATGTTCCCATGTGGCATAAACAGTTTACACCTGGCTGCTAGCCTAAAGGATGGTAGTTTGAACCCACCCAATAATACCACTGAAGTAAAGGCCTGACCATTTGCTTCCATTAAGATTACAGCTAAGAAAATCCTATGGAACAGTTCTACTTTGTAAAGCTTGGGGTCACTATGAGTCAAAATCCACTGATGATAGCTAACAATGTAGCCACATGTTTTTTAATGAAAAGATACAGATGAAGTTAATTATAATAATATATTTTATGCAACTAAGTATGTATAAAATATTATTTTAGCATGTAATCAATATAAAGTTACTCAAGATATTTTACATCATTATTGGAAAATATGAAATCTTCAGATTTTAGTGTATATTTTGCACTTGTTGTTGTTGTCAGGTGCCATTGAGTCGGAACGACTCATAGCGACCCCATGCACAGCAGAACAAAACAATGTCCGATCCTGGGCCAACCACACTACCGCTGCCACACTTGAGTCCATCAGTGATGCCACCTGGCTAATCCATCTCATTAGGGGTCTTCCCCTTTTTCTCTGACCCTCCACCTTACCCAGCATGACATCCTTCTCCAGCCACTGTTTCCTCCGGACAATATGTCCAAAGTAGGAGAGACGAAGCTTAGCCATCCTGGCCTCCAAGGAGCACTCTGGCTACACTTCTTCCAAAACAGATCTATTGGTTCTTTTGGAAGTCTATGGCACTTTCAGTATTCTCCTCCAACACCACAACTCAAAGGCATCAATTCTTCTACAATCTTCCTTATTCACTGTCCAGCTTTCGCATCTATATGAGATTATTGAAAACACCATAGCCTGGGTCAGGCGCACCTTAGTCCTCAAGCTGACATCTCTGCTCTTCAATACTTTAAAAAGTTCCTGTGCAGCAGATTTGCCCAGTGCAATATGTCGTCTGATCTCTTGACTGCTGCTTCTGCGAGTGTTGATAGTTGATCCAAGAAGAATGAAGTCCTTGACAACTTCAATCTTTTCTCCATTGATAAAAATGTTGTTTATTGGTCCAGTGGTGGGGATTTTTGTTCTGACTCATAGTGTTTACTTGTTTACTGCTGTTGAGTCAGTTCTGACTCATAGTGACCCTGTATAGGGTTTCCCAGGAACAATGGTAGATTTGAACCACTATTCTTATGGTTAGCAGTCTAGTGCTTATCCTCCTGGCCTATCTAGAATATAAAAATGGATAAAATAAGTATCTCTCTGTGAATGTAGCTGGATGTATGGGTTGCTTTCAGTGTTTCAAACTGCCATGTCTTTTATCATGTTTCAGGAAAGGTTGTGACAGTCTCCTATGATGAATGGAATAGGAAAATACAAGACCACTTTGAAAAGCGATTTCATGTTTCTGAAAACCCTTCAGATCCTAATGAACAGCATCCTGATTTGGTCCACAAACGTGGCATATACAAAGATAGTTGTGGAGCTTCAAGTCCTTGGTGTGACTACCAACTCAGACCTAATTTCACCATAGCAATGGTTGTAGTAAGTGATTTGTTTTGCTACTTAAAAAAATTTTTTAAATGTTTTATTTGATTCTTTGTTTCCCTTTGTTTTCAAATCAACCTAGGTGCTTAAAAGTATTATTTAATAAGTATTTTTATGTAGCCTTTCCTAATTATTAACCTATTATTCTACCACCCTAAACTTGTAACATTTAGTATTTTAAAGTAGGGGGGGAAATGGGTATTGATTAATGAAGTACTTTCATGTTACGACACACATAGACAATAATGTCACCTGTACAGCCCTTAAACTACTTGTGCCAGATTCAGCTGCTTCACTTAGCCCCAGACCCTATCCAACTGCCTTGAAAACTGAGAATATCTATATTTCATCCAGAGTTTGCCATACTAGTATTCCTCAGCACACTAATTTAGAAGCTCTAGCCTAGTGAACTAATGTGGGTAGCTTAAACTCACATCCCGTTTCTTTGTTGTATTGCTATAATTCTACTAGCCAAGAATTCTTGACTGTCTCCTTAACTGCGAACCACAGGTTGGCAGTTCAGACCTATCAGCTGCTTCTTGGAAACCCCATGCAGGATAGTTATGAGTCAGAACTGCCTCGACAGCAGTAAACAACAACAATCTAAAAATAAGCTGTGTGTGTTTTGTTCCGTCAAGTCATTACCAACTCATTTGTTTCTGTTGTTGCTAAGTGCCGTCAAGTTGGGATCCGACTCATGGAGACTCTGTACAGGTTTCCCTGTACGAGGTTTCCAAGCAGCAGCTGGTGAGTTGGAATTGCCAGCCTTTACGGCCCAAACCGACTTTGCAGTTTACCTTGTTAACTGGCAGCGCCACACCAGATATCCTTAACCTATATAGGGTTTCCAAGGTTGTAAATCTTTATGGGAACAGAAAACCTCCTTTTTATCCCAAAGAGCAGCTGGTGGATTTGAACTGCTGACCTTGCAGCCCAATGCGTATCCCACTACACCACTAAGGCTCTTTAAAAAAATTATAAGGGCAATAAATAGGAAAGGTATATACTCTTCCATTCCTGCCAAACTCTGTCCACTTTATCAAAAAGAGTGAGTACTATCATAGTGCTATCATTATGGTTGAGTAAAAAATTCAGAGGTAGACAAAGGCAGTTTCAGTTTAGTGTACATTTGATTTTATTTAGCCACTAAAATTAATGTAGCCACCAGTGTGTTGTGCCCTTTTCAATTTGGCAAGTAAATTTACTCATGCTATAAAGAGCAAATTCTGCTATACTGTATTGTATTGTTGTTGTAAAGTGTCATCAGGTTGGTTCCAACCCATAACAACCCAGTATAGGATTTCTGAGGAGTGTCTGGTGGGTTTGAACTGCCATCCGTGGTTCAAACTGACCTTGCAGCCAGCACATTATCCTGTGGCACCACACCAGGACTCCTTATATTGTATTATGACCCCAAAAACAAAACAAAAAAGAATGGGTACCAGATTTACTTAAATCTGTGAATCTTCTGACCAGTGAATTCAATTATTTAAGTATATTCTGCCTTCATTAAGTGTGTGACAACTTCCTTTTGGAGCTAGTACAATTTCTTGAAGTGTCATAGAGAAGTAATCTTTATTAGCTTCCCTGAGACCCAGTGTGGCACTATAGGATAATCACTGGATCACAATGTTGGTGGTTAAAATTCCCCAGCCATTCCTCAGAAACCATATACAGACTTGCTATGAGTTCGAACCAGCTTAACAGCACTTAACAACAACAATAGCTGCCCTGTGGTTCAGTGAGATAAGCACTGGACTGTCCACAAGGTCAGTGGTTTGAGCCCACCAGTCACTCCACAGGAGAATTATGAAGCTTTCTGCTTCTGCAAAGACTTACAGCCTCAGAAACCCTGTACAGAATCACAGTGAGTCAGAACCGACTCTGTGGCAGCAACAAACAGCAGTTACCCTAACTACTATGACCAAGAAATTAATAGAAATTGTTGTTGTTATAAGGTGCCATCGAGTTGGTACTAATTCATAACGACCCTGTGTACAACAGAATGAAACACTGCCCAGTTCTGGGCCAACCTTATAATTGTTGCCACACTTGAGCCCATTGATGCTGCCACTTTGCCAGTCCATCTTGCTGGGGGGTTTTTCCTCTTTTCCTCTGACCCTCCACCTTACCAAACATGATATCCTTCTCCAGAGACTGATCCCTCCTGACAATATGTCCTAAGTATGAGAGACAAAGTGTGGCCATTGTGGCCTCCAAGGAGCACTCTGGCTGCACTTTTTCCAACCCAGATCTGTTTGTTCTTTTGTCAGCCCATGGCACTTTAAATCTTCTCCTCGACACCACAACTCAAAAACATCAATTCTTCTACTGTCTTCCTTATTCATTGTCCAACTTTCACATGCATATGAGGTCATTGAAAATACCATGGCTTGGGTCAGGTGTGCCTTAGTCCTCATGCTGATATCTTTGTTCTTCATCACTTAGTGCCAACAAATCGGTTCCAACTCAGACAATTCTATATAGCCTTTCTGAATGGCGGCAAATGAGCCTGAACCACCAACACTGCGGCTCAAATCAACTTTGCAGTCCAGCGCATTAACCCACAGATAAGGTTATTTATCTGGACTCAAATTTTAAATAGATTCATTCTTCTCCACATTTATGAATAATTTAAGTAATAGGTTATATCTCACTAGGAGTTGAAACTAATTCTTTTGTGATCTTAAAAAGAAGTGTATTTGTTTTTGACATTTGTTAGGCCCCAGAACTGTTTACCACCGAAAAAGCATGGAAAGCTCTAGAGATTGCAGAAAAAAAACTGCTTGGTCCCCTTGGCATGAAAACTTTGGATCCAGAGTAAGTTGGAATATAAGTATTGAAAATGTTGTTGATACTATATTTAGTCCAAATACATTGCTATAAGCCATAACTGTTTTGCTTATCAGTGAAATCTCTAAAATAGCATTCACACTGAGCTTTTAAAAATACTTTGTCTAATACCATTGAGCATTGGTATTCAAAGAGTTTGGGACTTGTCCTATATTCAATAATCAAAGCGTTTTACATTTATTTATAAATCATGAATAATTTCTAATGCTTATTTTATTCTGATTATAAAAGTAATACATAATTATCGTCAACACTGATAAGCGTTTGTTGTTGTTGTGAAGTGCTGTCAAGTCGGTTCCGACCCATAGTAACCCTGTATAGGGTTTAGGAGGAGCAGCTGGTGCACTTGAACCACCGACATTGCAGTTCAAACAGCTTTGCAGTCTGGTGCATTAACCCACAGCACCACACCAGGACTCCACTGAAAAGCATAGAGATTTACAAAATAAAAGTAAAATGTCTTCTAATCCCTTCATCCAGAGATAAAAACCACTGCCATCTAGCATATTTCCTCAGTCTTTCATGTGTATTTTCTTACCAGTTTAGACTATACTTATAGTTGGGCTGCTGACTACAAGGTCAGTGGGAACAAGACCTTAGAGCTGTCTGTTCCAGGAAGGATCTACAGTCTCAGAAAACCTAAATAGGGTCACTATGAGTTGAAATTTACTTGAAGGCAGTAGATGTTTGGGGTATATATAGAACTCAGAGCCCTGGTGTCACAGTGGCTAAAGCACTTGGCTGCTAATGAAAAGGTCAGCGTTTTAAACCTACCAGCTGCTCTGCACAAGAAAGATATAGCCGCCTGCATCTGTACAGATTGCAGCCTAGGAAGTTCTTTGGGACAGTTCCACTCCTCCTTTACAGTTGCTGAGTCATAATTGACTCAGCACCCAATAGTTTTTAAAGCTAGAACTGCATATTTTCTCCTTTTTAATTAAATGCTTTATCACTTTAACTTCCAAAAAAGTATTTGAGAACATTTTTTCTGCTGCATGTCTTTTCTTATCAAATTTACTTTTTTAAGCATTGGAATATTTCTGTTTCTATTGTTAAAAATTGTTACAAATAAGGCTGCAATAAACATTCTTAAGCATAAAGACTTGTCTTTCATTTAGATTAATCTTTTAGGGTAAATTCATAGACGAATTACTAAGCTTAAAAGGGCGGACATGTTTTATTTTCATTGAAGGACTGCATACAGATACTTAGAAGGACTTGCCTTCATTCCTACTCCTCACACAATTGTAATTAAGTTGTTTTTCCAAAGTATTTCTTTTCATATTCCTCAATATATATTATTCTGTTTTCTTTAAATCAATAAATATTTCCTTTTTACATTGTGATTATGTGTATGTATGCCATATTTCCTTTCCTTGCCAATTTTTTTTCTTGACTTTCTAATGATTTTTCTGATTTTCTTCTGCTGTTTGCCTTTGAAGCTTATCAGTTTGCTTTGTATATTGATATATGAGAGAAGCCCATCGCCACAGTATTCCCACCTTTGAAGATTTTTTTCTTTACTATATACTTATTTATGTCTTCAGTTGTAAAATGTTATATGTGTATGTCTGTAGACATTTTGGGGTATTTCAATGGAGTTAGGAAACCACTGATCAAAATTAAAACCTACAGTTAAAGCTGTCTCTCTCAGTAAGGAAATAAGAAAAGGAATAATTGAGTGAATCCAAGAATAACTATTTCATATTATCTATTGTAATAAGTAAGGACCTCTGGTAGCATAGTGGTTATGAATCGGGCTGCTAACCTCAAGGTCAGCAGTTCGAAACTGCCAGCCATTCCGCAGAAGAAAGATGAGGCTTTCTGCTCCAGTAAATATTTACAGCCTCGGAAACCCCGTGCATGGTCACTATGAGTCAGAACCGACTCCATGGTACTTAACAACAACAACATTGTAATAAGTTTATAGTATTTTAATTAGCTTGTAAATTCTGTGTGCTGTAGCAATATATGGAGTTCTGGAGTGATGCTATAGGATAAACAATTGACCACAAGGTCGGTTTGAACTGCACGGTTGGTGGTTCAAACTCACCAGTCACTCTTCGGAAACCCTACACAGGGACACTTTGGGTTGGAACCGACTCAGTGTCACTTAACAATAACAACAACAATAGTAATATATGTATTTCATTTCTAATTGTAATATGATAATGTGCCCATTTTAATTCTATAATTTCATAGAGAACTTGTAAAAAGTCTTCTCAATCAATAATAATAAGACCTTACCTTTTATGTTTGCGAATTCAAATTATGTAGTGTATATTTTAATGGCTATACATACTTGAAGCCTAGTTGAATCGTTCGTTGCCTTTACACCAACTAAACTTCCATGTCACATCAATTCTTTGAAGATAATAAACTTAAATATTTTTGTTTTTTTAATGTTCGCATATGTCTTTGTTAATCATTTCCTAATGCATTATTAAAGTCCTGTGAACTCAGCATATAATAATGTACTGAATGTCGTGCCTGTTCCAAAGATTGCAGGACAAAATAATTTGACTATTTTTCTTATCTATATGGTATTAAGAAATTTTTTAATTTTTCCTCTATAATATCTAATCTTTTGTTTAACTTAAAATTCAATTATTTTGCAGTGATATGGTTTACTGTGGAATTTATGACAATGCCTTAGACAATGACAACTACAATCTTGCTAAAGGTTTCAATTATCACCAAGGACCTGTAAGAATTTTATTCCTCTTTCTGCTTTTTCAATTAAAGTTGTGTTTTTCTGTAATTTTAAGTATTTATAAGTTTTTTTTTCCTTTACTTTTAATCGTCTTTTTTAGGAGTGGTTGTGGCCCATTGGGTATTTTCTTCGTGCAAAATTACATTTTTCAAAATTGATGGGCCCGGAGACGAATGCAAAGACTATTTTTTTGGTTAAAAACGTTCTTTCCCGACATTATGTTCATCTTGAAAGGTAAGCTGTAAGGGGCATAAAATTTCCATATAATATTTAATAAATTTATCAGATATTAGATATGAGATATAACATTCTCTTAGAATTCATTTATGGCTACACTACAAATCCCAGTGAAATTCAAAACTTAGCTCTATTTTGTTTTCTTTCATTCACATTTATTCTTCCATAATTTAAATGATAAAATGCATGGAAAGATTTTCTAAGAAGAAACTTCAAAATTGTTTAGAAAACAAACAAAAGTATAGATTATCTCCTTGTGTCCTGGGGAAAAATATTTTTAAAGTTTTTCTATGTTTACTAGTTAAAATCAAGCTATAAAGTAAAAAAAAAAAACAAACAAACATGAAAACCAGCAAAATCACTCTTTTTACTAAAATATCTTTTCCAGAATTGTATGTAACTATTGTACTTTGCTTAAATGAAAACTGTTTTTCTATTAGGTTTAGGCTGCTTCATTCAGAAATGTAGCTTCTCAGTCTTTGGAAGTGTAGGATAAGTAGGATTTGTAGGATAAATACTAGACTGTGAACCACAAGGTTGGCAGTTCAAGCCCACCAGCCGCTCCACCAAAAAAAGATGAAGCTTTCTGCTCCTGCAAAGATATACAGTCTCAGAAACCGTATACAGGATCAGTATGATTTGGCACCCACTCAGTGACACTTAATAATAACAAATTAATCTTTGCATAATTATAGAACTCTAGGATCAGATATAAAATTTGAGACATCTGTAGATGGACTCTTTATCCTAGACCTGAATTATTGTTTTACAAATTAAGATCATATTTTTATTGTGGTAAAATAAATCTAACAAACAGTTTGCCATTGTATCCATTTATAAGTGTAAACTTGAGTGGCATTGATCATATTCACCATTTTGTGCCACCGTCACCACTGTCCATCTCCAAATAGTTTGTTATCCTAAATAGAAGCTTAGTACCCCTTCAACAGTAACTGTCCTCAACTCCTCCTCCAATCCCCAGTTGTTAAGTGTCGTCGAGTCGATTCTGACCCATAGCAACCCTGTATAGGGTTTCCAAGGAGCAGCTGGTGAACTTGAACCACTGACCTTGCAGTTCAAACGTCTTTGCAGTCTGACACATTAACCCACAGCACCGCACCAGGACTCCCAATCCCCAATAACTTTACAGAAGTAAACTTCTGTCTCTATATATTTGCCCATTCCAGGTATTTAATATAAGTGGGATCATACCATATTTGCCTTTTGTATTTGACTTATTTTACTCAGCATGTTTTCAAGCTTTATCAATGGAGTCTTGGTGTGACACTGTATGATAAGCACTGAGCTACTAACCTCAAGGTTGGCAGTTCAAACCCACCAGCTGCTCCTCAGAAAACCTTTCCAGGGTTGCTATGAATAGGAACTAACTCAACAGCACTTAACAATAACAAAAACATTCAATGGTGTAGCATGTATCAGATTTTCATTTCTCTTTGTGGCTGAACTATATTCCATTTTATATATGTACTACATTTTAAATATCCATTCATCTGTTGATGGACACTTTCATTGTCTCCATCTATTGGCTATTGTGATTAATGCTGCAGTGACCATTGGTGTATAAGTATCTGAGTTTCTGTTTTCAGTTATTTTGTATATAAACCTAAGAGTGAACTTGCTGGGTCACACGAGGGGGCTTCTAAAAGTTCATGGAAAAATGGAATTAAAAAATAATGGAAGTTTTCCACAAACATTTTGAAGCCTCCTTATTTGGCAGTTATACGTTTTAACGTTTTGAGGAACTACCATCATGATTCTTAGTTCTATGTTTTAACGTATTGAGGAACTGCCATCATGTTTCTTTCAGCAGCTGCACCATTTTGCAATGCCACCAGCAGTTGATGAGGATTTCAGTTTCTCCACATCCTTAATAATACTTGTTATTTCCCATTTTCCTGATAATGCCATCTGATAGGGACAAAGTAATAGCTCTTCTGGTTTTGATTTGTATTACCATAATCATTAATTAATTACATTGAGCATCTTTTCATGCCCAGTTGACCATTTGTATAACTTCTTTGGTTAAATGTCTATTTGAGTCTTCGGCCAACAAAAAGTCATTGGGTTGCTGGTTTTTGGTTGAATTGTACTATGAGTTAATTTTTACCATAATTGTTTTAGGTAGGTTTTTTTTGTCAAGAACTTGATAATGTGTGATTTATATGCATAGAAAAATCATTGATTTTATGTTTTAGCTGCTCTTTAGATATGGTTTTTGTTGTTAAGTGCTGTCGAGTTAATTCCGATCCATAGCGACCCTGTATAGGGTTTCCAAGGAGCAGCTGGTGAGCTTGAACCACCAACCTTGCAGTTCAAGCAACTTTGCAGTCTGATCCATTAGCCCACAGCGCCACACCAGGACTCCTTTAGATATGGTTAAGACAGGATAAATGTTGTTAGGTGCCATCGAGTCAGCTCTGTCTCATAAATACCCTATGAACAACAGGGTGAAACATTGCCCAGTTTTGCTCCATCCTCACGATTATTACTATACTTGAGCCCATAAATACAAAAAGTGAAAGTACTCAAGCTGGTCCTTTTAGGTTAACTGATTGAAAAGTACCTCAAAACATAATTCTAAAAGCTAAAGAGGATAGAGAGAAACTCTGTAAACTGATGATATATGGCGGGGATAATAATCAGTGTAATGAAACAAGCTATATGAATGGTTGAATGTGAAGCTGATGATGTGCCCTGTAAACTTTCACTCAATGCAAAATAAAAACATTTAATTAAAAAAACAAACAAACATAATTCTAACACCATTCCTCACCTCCTTTGTTCTAATTAGCAAGTAAACAATGTCAAAGTAATTTGTATGTCTATTGTTATTGGTGTTGTTAAGTGCCCATAGAGTCGATTCCAACTCATAGCAACCCTGTACAGAGTTTCCAGGGAGCGGCTGGTAGGTTAGAACGACCAACCTTGCGGTTTGCAGTCCAGTGCTTATCCTACAGCACCCCGCCAGTAGTCTACATATCTTTATAAAATGGTACAAGTTCATTCAAAAACTATTCTAATTTCCCAAGTTCTAGGTTATATTTAAATATATCTACATCCTATTTTTCAGAATAATTATCCATACACACAGCCTAATTTTATATCCTGTCTTACAAGAAACGAGAGACTTCCACCTACCATCATGAATGTTGTATAAAAGTTTGTTTTCATTAGCTTAAAAGTAGTCATATAAAACCACACCATGCCACCTTTCTTCTACCTCATTTAGAAATCGATTCTGAATCTATGTGATATGTTGCTGTTGTTGTTGTTGTTAGGTTCCGGCAAGTCAGTTCTGACTCATAGCAACCCTGTGCACAACAGAACAAAACAGTGCCCGATCTGCATCTTCACAATTGTTATTTTTGAGCCCATTGTTGCTGCCACTGCATCAATCCATGTCATTGGGTATCTTCCTGTTTTTCACTGACCCTCCACTTTACTAAGCATGAACAGACACTGGATCCTCCTGACAACATGTCTAAAGTACAGTCTTCCCATCCTTACTTCTAAGTATTCTAACTGTATTTCTTCCAACACAGATTTCTTTGTTCTTCTAGCAGTCCATGTAGTAGTTGTTGTTAAGTGCCATCAAGTTGATTTCAATTCTTAGCAACACTGTATAAGGGTTTCTAAGGTGAGGTTAAACTTTTGACCTTGTGGTTCAGACTTTGTAGTCCAGCGCATTAACCCACAGTTCCACACCAGGGTTCCATAATACTTTGAATATTCTTCATCAGCACTATAATTTAAATGCATTGATTCTTCTCTGATCTTCCTTATTCACTGTCCAACTTTCACATGCACATGAGATGATTAAAATACCATGACTTGGATCAGGCACACCTTAGTCCTCAAACAGACATCTTTGCTCTTAAAAGAAGTCTTTTGCAGCAGATTGGCCTAAAGCAATTCCTTGTTTGATTTCTTGACCACTGCTTCCATGAGTGTTAATTGTGGATCCAAGCAAAATGACTTCAGTCTTTTCTCTGTTAATCATGATGTTATTTATTCGTCCACAGTGAGGATTTTTGTTGTCTTTACATTGAGATACAACCCATACTAAAGGCTGTACTCATTGATCTTCATCAGTATTTCAAGTCCTCTTCACTTTGAGCAATCAAGATTGTATCATCTGCATATCACAGATTGTTAATGAGTCCTCCTCCAATCATGAAGCGACATTCTTCTTCATATAATTCAGTTTCTCAGATTATTTGCTAAACATACAATTTAATTAAGTCTGGTGAAGGATATGCCCTGACACATACCACTCATCTGTCAGTTTGTTGTACTATAATGGTTTGTATGATGCTGGAAGCTATGTCACCGGTATTTCAAATACCAGCAGGGTCACCCATGTTGGACAGGTTTCAGCTGAGCTTCCAGACTAAGACACCCATCACTATAACAGTGATATAGTGTTAGAAGATGAGCCCTTCAGGTTGGAAAGCACTCAAAATACAATTTGGGGAAAGCTGCCCCTCATTGTAGAGTTGATCTTAAGAACATGAATGGAACAAAGTTTGTGGACCTTCATTTTCTGATGGGGCACAACTAAAAATGAGGAGAAATGGCTGCAAACATTCATTAATAATGGAAATGTGAAATTACGAAGTATGAATCTAAGAAAACTGGAAGTTGTCGAAAATGAAGTGGAACGCAGAAAGATCAGTCTCCTAGGCATTACTGAGCTGATATGGACAGGTATTGGCCGTTTTGAATCAGTGTATCATATGCTGTACTATATTGGGAGTGACAAACTAAAGAGAAATGGTGTTGCATTCATCATCAAAGAAAGCATTTCCAGATCTTGTGAAGTAAATTACTGTCTGTGATAGAATATCCATGTGCCTACCAGTTAATACCACTATTTTTCAAATTTACACACCAGCCACTAAAGCCAATGATGATGAAATGGAATAATTCTACCAACTTTTTCAGGCTAAAATTGATCAAGCATGCACTCAAGATGC